TGGCCGGTCTGTTTTTCTTCGACCAGTCCTTCCGTCCTGTCCCTCTGGAACAACATTTCATTGGTGTTAAGGGCAAACCTGGCACCAAGCAGTCTCGCGAGAACCTTGATGTTGTGGCTTTTGAGAAGGTCCGTGATATGCTCGAACGAGGGCATCAAGTCATGGTTTTTGTCCACTCGCGTAAGGATACTGTCATGACTGCTCGAATGCTGAAGCAGATGGCCAGTGAGGATGGGTGTGAGAATCTGTTCAGCTGTCAGGAGCACGAAGGTTATTCGAATGGTCTTGGTGATGTGAAACGCAGTCGCGCTCGCGAACTGCGTGAGCTATTTGCCAGTGGGCTTGGGACACACCATGCCGGTATGAGCCGGAGTGATCGTAACCTCATGGAGCGCCTGTTCTCCGAAGGACTCATCAAAGTGCTCTGCTGTACTGCCACACTTGCGTGGGGTGTCAACCTTCCTGCTGCCGCGGTTGTCATCAAAGGTACTCAGTTGTACAATCCGCAAGAAGGTAAATTTGTCGATCTAGGTATATTGGATGTGCTGCAAATCTTTGGTCGTGCTGGTCGTCCTCAATTCCAAGACACTGGTATTGGTTTCATCTGTACGACCCACGATAAGCTCCACCACTATATATCTGCCGTAACATCACAGCAACCGATTGAATCTCGGTTCTCCAGCCGGCTGGTGGATAACCTGAATGCCGAGATTTCTCTAGGGACGGTCACCTCTGTCCCAGAAGCCGTGCAATGGCTGGGCTATTCTTATCTTTTTGTTCGCATGAAACGAGAGCCTCGCAATTATGGAATTGACTTCGCAGAATTGCGTGACGATCCTATGCTGGTGCAAAGACGTCGTCAGCTAGTCATTCAAGCTGCTATAGTGTTGCAAAAGAGTCAAATGATCATATACAACGAAAAGACCGAAGAGTTGCGCGCGAAAGATGTTGGCCGCATCGCCAGCCAGTACTATGTCCTGCAGACCAGCGTCGAAATTTTCAACAATCTGATGCGTCCTCGAGCCAGTGAGGCGGATGTGCTCAGAATGATCAGTATGAGTGGTGAATTCGATAACATCCAAGCACGGGAAAGTGAGTCCAAAGAGTTGAATAGACTGCGTGACGAGGCCATCCAGACCGAGGTAGAAGGAGGTAATGACTCGCCACATGCCAAAACCAACATTCTGTTGCAGTCATATATCTCTCGTGCTAGGGTCGAAGACTTTGCCCTGGTGTCTGATACAGGGTACGTGGCGCAGAATGCAGCCAGAATTTGTCGTTCCTTGTTCATGATTGCATTGAACCGCCGTTGGGGTTACCAATGTCAAGTTCTGCTGTCACTCTGCAAGGCTATCGAGAAGCAGATGTGGCCCTTTGATCACCCATTCCATCAGTTCGATCTTCCTCAGCCAATTCTCAGGAACTTAGATGACAAGCTTCCGACATCCTCCATCGAATCTATGAGAGACATGGAAACAGCCGAGATTGGCCAACTGGTTCACAACCAAAAAATGGGGAAGACGTTGGCAAAGCTGCTCGACAACTTCCCTACCCTTGGAGTGGAGGCTGAAATTGCCCCATTGAACCGTGATGTTCTACGAATCCGACTGAGTCTGTACCCAGAGTTTATTTGGAATGATAGGCACCATGGTGCTTCCGAATCATACTGGATCTGGGTGGAAAACTCAGAGACGTCTGAAATATACCACCACGAATACTTCATTCTCAGCAGGAAGAAGCTCAACGATGAACACGAGTTGAATTTTACCATCCCGCTGTCCGATCCTCTGCCTAGTCAAATCTACGTTCGTGCGATATCTGACCGCTGGTTGGGCGCAGAAACGGTGCACCCTGTGTCTTTCCAGCACCTGATTCGACCAGACACGGAAAGCGTATACACTGACCTTCTCAATCTCCAACCGCTTCCCATATCTGCGCTAAAAAACCCGATACTGGAGGAGCTCTATGGGCAGCGCTTCCAATTCTTCAACCCCATGCAGACGCAGATCTTCCATATGCTGTACCACACCCCGGCTAATGTTTTGCTGGGCTCCCCGACAGGTAGTGGAAAGACTGTAGCCGCAGAGCTGGCTATGTGGTGGGCCTTCCGAGAAAAGCCTGGCTCGAAGGTTGTTTACATTGCACCAATGAAGGCGCTCGTTCGTGAACGTGTTCAGGACTGGAAAAAGCGTCTTACAGCACCAATGGGCCTGAAATTGGTTGAATTGACAGGTGATAACACTCCTGATACGCGGACTATCCGGGACGCCGATATCATCATCACAACCCCTGAAAAGTGGGACGGTATCTCCCGTAGTTGGCAGACTAGAGATTACGTGCGGAAGGTGAGCTTGGTGATTATTGACGAGATTCACCTGCTGGGTGGTGATAGAGGACCAATTCTTGAAATTATCGTGTCTCGAATGAACTACATTGCTTCGCAATCCAAGGGTTCTGTTCGTCTGATGGGCATGTCCACTGCATGCGCGAACGCGACCGACTTGGCGAATTGGCTCGGCGTGAAAGAAGGACTGTATAACTTCAGACACTCCGTGCGTCCTGTGCCGCTTGAGATCTACATTGACGGATTCCCGGAGCAGCGTGGGTTCTGCCCGTTGATGCAGTCCATGAATCGACCCACATTCCTGGCAATTAAGAACCACTCTCCCGAAAAGCCGGTGATTGTGTTTGTCGCTTCCCGTCGACAGACTCGATTGACTGCCAAGGATCTGATCAACTATTGTGGTATGGAGGATAATCCTCGTAGATTCGTCCGCATGTCCGAGGAAGATCTTCAGTTGAATCTTGCAAGAGTCAAAGATGAGGCATTGCGCGAAGCACTCAGCTTCGGTATTGGTCTGCACCATGCTGGTCTAGTCGAGTCAGACCGACAGCTAGCCGAGGAGCTGTTCGGCAACAACAAGATCCAAATCCTTGTGGCTACCAGTACCCTTGCCTGGGGAGTTAACCTTCCAGCACATTTGGTCGTGGTGAAGGGAACACAGTTCTTCGACGCCAAGATCGAAGGATACAGGGACATGGATCTCACTGATGTCCTGCAGATGCTTGGTCGAGCGGGACGTCCTCAGTTCGACACATCAGGTATTGCGCGCATTTTCACTCAGGATGCAAAGAAGGCGTTCTACAAGCACTTCCTGCACACCGGCTTCCCCGTCGAGTCGACACTACACAAAGTGCTGGATAACCACTTGGGCGCCGAAGTTTCCGCGGGAACAATCACAACGAAGCAGGACGCTCTTGACTACTTGACCTGGACATTCTTCTTCCGCCGGCTGCACAAGAATCCTTCCTACTATGGCCTTGAGATCTCCGCTGAGGAGCACAACACCATGGCAGCCCAGGCGATAGCACAGGACTTCATGATTGAGTTGGTTGATAAGTCGCTTGGGGAGCTGGCCGAGTCTTCCTGTGTCGTACTCGACTCAGCAACTGGTGATGTTGATCCAACCCCGTTCGGCAAGATCATGAGTTACTACTACCTGTCTCACAAAACGATCCGATACCTCATGTCGCACGCTAAACCCAACCCTACCTTCCATGATGTCCTCAGCTGGATGTGTTCAGCAACTGAATTCGACGAGCTGCCCGTGCGTCACAACGAAGACCTTATCAACGCCGAATTGGCACGCAACCTCCCCCTCTCAGTCGAATCGATGTGTGACCTTCCCCTCTGGGATCCGCACGTAAAAGCCTTCCTGTTGCTCCAGGCATACATGTCACGCATCGACCTCCCCATCTCCGATTACGTCGGTGATCAAACCTCCGTCCTCGACCAAGGCATCCGTATCATCCAAGCCTCGATCGACGTGATGGCTGAACTAGGCTACCTACACGCCTGCCACATGTTCATGTCTCTCCTGCAATGCATCAAATCAGCAAGATGGCCCGAAGACGCGCCCCTCTCTATCCTCCCGGGCATCGACCCGGTAGAGAAGAAATCGGCGCTCCCTACTTCACTCACCGCACTCGTATCTCTCCCCTTCAAAGCCACCGAAGCTCTCACCAAGAAGCTCAGTCTTCCCGCGCAGTTCGCAAAAGCCGCGTCCAACCTACCCAATATATCCCTGTCCATTCCCACCATCTCTCCAAACGGTCTCACCGTGACCTTGACACGCAAGAACGCCCCGAGGGACAGAGATTACAGGATCTACGCTCCTCGATTCCCCAAACCTCAGACGGAAGGATTCTTCATGCTCGTCTACAGCGGCGCATCCTCCGATGGCAAGAATGGAGAGCTCCTGGCTCTGAAACGTGTTTCCTGGCCGTCATCGTCAAACCAGCGTAACGGATCTGGGCCCAGCAGGAAGCCAAACGATAACAGGAATGGACCGCTTGTCGTTCGTTCGTCTGTCAAGTTCCCCGAGAACGTGCGGGGACTGAGCATGCGGGTTACGATCAAGGTGATTAGTGATTCGTATCCGGGTATGGAATGGACGCTGTCTGATGTGGAGGTGGATGCGGGGGTGCCCGAGAAGCAGACTTTGCCTGAGTCTTCGACTTTCCCTGAGAAAAGCTGATTCTGGTTCAAACCGAAGCAGAACTAGAAAATAAATAGACAAATGTTAGTACATAGAGCTCAATAGATGCCTTGGATATATTTGTAATCAAGTAAATTTACAAACAGATGAGAGGTACATATAATCTGTAAAAGATTTGGTAGTAGATAGTGTCCAAAAACACCAATTGCAATTGCAAGAGCGTATTTCATGTGTTGACGTTGTGCATCTCCAGAAAAAAAGTGAAGAAAACATGAGAACTAGCGTTAAGCTGACCCAAATGATGAAATGAAACGCAAGAAGAATCCAAAAACCAAATACCACCAACTCTGGTGCACCTAGCTGGATGAGGACAACAAAATGGTGAACGCTACCTGCGCTGTAGAAATAGGAACGAAAAGATAGAAACGTGATATAAGACCAGGAAGAAGAGAACAACAAGCACGTGATCATGACCATAAGCAACTTCCCAAGACTGATCGCTTAGATGGTGTCAACGAGTACCTCCTGTGATCGTCCAGGGAGATGGCTGCGATCAGCTTCCATAACCTGGGGCGCTTTTCCCTTCTTGTCGCCGACACGCTCATTGGGATCCAAACGGTCTGGCCGTGGCCTGATAGGTACAAGGACCTGCCTTCTTCCTTTCGAGACGGAGACGGATCGTGCGATTGAGATTTCGACGGTAGGAACGGGGTTTTCTGGGTCGGATGGGTTGCTGTCCTTTTGGGCGACCCCGGAGGGCTTAGGTCTTGGTGAGGTTGGGGAGGTGCGTCTGCTTGCCGGGGATGGGACCTCGTTTCTTTGTCGGGGCGCATCGACAGGCGTGTCTGACGATTCAGACAGAGTTGATGATGCATAGCTAGCTGTTCGGGGCGAATCCATCTGCGTATCGATCCTTAGCGGTGGAGGTGATTCGCGCACGGGTTCCTTTGCTGTAGGCTTCTTGTTGATGATCTCCCATTCTGGTTCCCTTGCGTCAAAGTAGGAGCGGACAGGACCTAATTTTTGCAAGAGGAGCCGTTCGTCCTCGGAACCAATGGTCGTAGAGGAAAGAAATGAAGACACCGAGTTCTGTTGCTTATGGGACGGCTGGGTGCTGTGGACCATAAGGACCACGCTATTCTTTTCCGACAGATTTTCTTGATTCGATTCCCCCAGGGACGTTTGGCTCTTATGGATTGGGCTGGGACCGCGAGGAACATTCTGGCTTCCCAAGACCTTCGAGGCCTTGCTGGTTCTGGTCGCCGGGAACAGGCTGAAGCTGGGACTGGGGGATTTCGACCGTGTCGGGGTTGGCGAGTGATGGGTGTCCTGGCGATTGTGTCAGTTTAGGAGATTTTTGCTAGTCGAATGGAAATTTAGACACGCTACCTGTTCAGTTGGAGAGTTGCTGTCTTCCAAATTCTTGCTGCGTCTACTCATGGCAGATAGCCTGTTCTTCTTGAGAACTCCTCCAAACATGACGCTGTATCGCTCCAGCTGAATGTCAGGAATGTCAACCTGGAGCAAGGGTCCAGATCCAAGAGACTGTTCCTTCTCTGGGGGCGAACCACTGGTCGCATCCGCGTGAGACTGTTGTGGCTCCTGTGTGGAAGTCTGGATTTCCGGTACTAGAGATGGCCATGCGTCTGTGCCTGAGGTGGGACTGGCAGGATTCTCGTGGCCTGAAGACTGGGTCTTTGGCTGCTGGTCGAATGAATAAGTCGAGCCTTGCATTGGCCATTCGTTTTCTAGCCGGACCTGATAGAACGGCTGATTTGGAGGGGTTGTCATGGCGGCCTTGGCCTTGAAGAGGCCACCAATCTTCTTCCATTTGCTTGGCTTGCGCTGCAAAGAGGGTCGCGTCTGGGGTTCTGCCGGTTTGACAGGAACCGTCTCCTGCATCTGTGACGTGGGAACTTGCGGGTCGATCATACGGGGACTACCCAACGCGACGCCGATAAGACTTCCATTCATGTCATTATCAGTGCTGACGGGTGACGACACTGGGGAAGAAAGAAGCGGGGGAGCCTCGGTGTTGATAGGGCTCATGGCTTGCATCTTCTTCTGCTGGTGCCCCTCAGATACCCCTGGGCGATGAAAGCTCCGATTCACATGAGGCGCCGGGCGGCCTTTATTTGCGCCATCCTCGATACATTTCTGATCTTTCCGTGGCAGCATATCAGGGTGCTTTGATGTAGGGGAAGAGCCAGCCTCCGCCTGCCGAATTGTACGCGACCTCCCCAGAAATGTTCCTCTAGCCATTTTTGACGACTGCCTGTATATCAAATACTGAAGTGAAAGTGAGGGTAAAGTTCCAGAGTATTGCTGAGAGAAAAATAATGGTGAAAAGAAAGTAAAGAACGTTAGAGGGAACCGAGCCCCGTTTCTATCAAAAAACCCAAGACAAAGGAATGGACGGCCTTCCAGAAGACCCAAAATTGAAATACAAGCAGTTCAGACAAGGAAAGAGTCAGTTCATGATGGGGAGAAAAGGAGAATCGGCGATAGAGGGTCAGCGCAGCATAGTTAAGACGTTGCGGCAGTTATTGTGGAGCACTAGGCAGAGCGCTATATCTAAGTGAGACGTGTGGCAGGGGCGAACTAGCGCGAGGGCTTAGATTAACACATTGTGCAAGATCTGACGAAGCGCGACGGCAGAACAGCCAACAGAAATTTCCAGAGAAATTGCTCAGGAGAGACCACACGGCATCCCCGCATGGCTGGCACTGGACACGGACAGTCGTCCAGTCACAGGAATTTGACAGCTCTGTGATTATGACATAGGTGAGTGCTACCGAGAACCACACCAGGCGCTTATTCTAGTAGCTGCAAATCAGCGTTGGATGTTGCGGGCGCATTTGATTACGAGCGCGGGCGAGGGGCCAAAGAGAGAGGCACCGGCCGACGGATTCACCTCCAGCTGGAAACATGAGCGTTGGCGCAGCTGGATTTATTGGTTCCAGCTGTTCTGAAACCCCTATGCGCTCGACCAATGAGGTTGTGAATATCTGAATCGCCTGGCGATCACACAAGGCCTGAGACTCACTCTCAGGACCTTGGTGTTACGGATCCTCTAACCGATGCCGCAGATGAGAAAACCCTTTCGCAAAATGCTCGTGCGACCGTGCCTGCATCCTGTCGGCAGCCGAAAGTCGTCGCATTTTCCGAGTCTCTTGGGCAGTGGATTGCGACAGCCCGTTAAGGCACGAGGCCCGCTAGATAAGAATTAGTAGCCCACTGGGGAAATTAGAGTAAGAGGCCGCCCAGGGAACTGGCCCGCGGCCCTCACCTTAAGTCACGGACCAGCCATCTCCTGAATGGCGTTTCCAGCTCCTTTGTTATTTCGTAGATCATGGGTTGATGGCTATACAATTTTGTAGTATCAAGATTATCATCAAAATCAAATGACGGACGGGATTTCCCGCAAACTGTCCACTGTCATCGACAAGGGAATTGTTGTCAAGGAGGAATAGACCATTAGACTGAGGAGAAAAAAGACCGACTGACGGATGGCTGCAGATGATCCCCAGCACCTGACTCGGTGACAGGCACGTGCCCAGTCAACCCACCAGGCATCATCATCTCAGCTCGGATTCCGCAGGTGAGTGACAGACGCTCTCGATGAAGTTGTCCATGGCAGAGGCATAAGGGATGGATGGGCATAGAAGAGGCGGTAAGGAGGAACCGGTGAAAAAAGGCCCGCAAAGTGGACATGCTTGGGTGTCTAACAGGGTCTAGTTTTTGCACCGGTAGGGGACTAATCCTATACTGAGGCGGGTGAACTACGGAGTCGGCCTGCCGTTGGGCTCTCCACCGCCTGGATGCTCTCTCTAGTCTCTACACATACCGTAGCTTTGGTGGATGATACCAAGGATGAGCTAGATAGTAATGGTGTTGGTTGGATGAGGCTATTCAGAGTCAAGCTCTTTGTTGCTACGGGGATGACGTAGGAAGACATACCGTAAAACTCACCCCCAAAAGGGTAGATGACAGCTGGTCATAGGGAACGCAAGGCAAAGAAAAGGAAAAGGGCCTACTGAAATGGTGTTTGATCTCGGTAAGTACCACTTGGTGCTGAAATTATTCTTTGAAATAGGAGCGATTAGGGAGCATATGATGAATAGACGTAGATGATATTCATCTATCTTACGGTGACCGACAAGCAGAGAAAGTTGAAAAGTCGGGAATTGGCGGGGCAGAAATCAGTAGGAGATGCTCAGCTGGGAAAAGCAAATGGAAACCAATGCCACCCCCACCAGAGCAAACTAACCAACTAAAGTAGCAGCACCTCCCAAGCCCGCTTTAGTAAACTCACCTCATCGTCGGCCTCCTTCTCCCCCTCCTTTCCCACCAACTTTCTTCGAGACTCACCTCTACTATCTACTACCACCTTCCTCCCCCCAGCGCATTCTTTTCCTCTTTCTCCTGGTCGATTCCTAGTCCTCGCCCGGAGTCTTTTACCCCCCAGTTCCACTCTTCTTACGGATTGCTCTGCTTATCCGTATCTTCCCCTTTCCCGACCGTCCCGTCATTTGTTTATCCGACCGTCACCATGGGTCAGCACTCCGCTATTTGGCAAGGTACGACGAGAACACATGCTCCTTCAACATTCCATTCTCTTCTATCTAGCATTTTCTTTTGGGTATTCCTAGGCTGACTCTTGCTCTTCTTCCTGCCTAGGATATGTCGATTCCAGGTACCGTATAACCTAACCATATTTACCCCGCTTCGGCCACTGCCGCCCCTCCAAGTTGGTATCGGAATTCTGACGCGAAGCCATTCAGCTTGATGGGATCTGGCCAATTTGACAAGGCCGGTATCCTGAGCCACGACATCTCCGGCGTTGAGGCCTCCTCTCCCGGCTTCACGGTATGACACGCTCTCCAGCAACCGCCGGTCTGATCGGCGTGACCTTACGGCCAAGCAAGCGCCGACCAGCACGAATCCAGCGTTAACGACCACCATAGATCTCCCCCCAAGAACTTCAGGGCCTTGCCGCTGCCTTCAAGGACCCCAACGCTGCCTGGGGTAACGGTATCACCGTTGGCGGAGAGAAGTTCGTCACCATCAAGGCTGACGACCGCAGTCTGTACGGCAAGAAGGTACTATCGCACCCACCCACCCCCTATTACCTATCAAAGTATTCCACATGTGCTGATATTTATGAACAAACAGGGTAAGGAGGGTATCGTTGTCGTCAAGGCCGTCTCCTGCGTCATGGTCGCCCACCACGCGGAGAACGTCCAGACCCCGAATGCCGCTACCGTGGTCGAGAACCTCGTTGACTACATCAACAACCCCCGGTGAATGGGTCTAAAAGCAGAATGAAATTGTATTTTGTCTCGCCATGAGGAAGGAACACTCGGTAATACTGGTTATTTAAATGTAAATCATCATGGTGGTCTCTTTTCTCGATTGTCTTTTGCTCTCCGGTATTCTTTGCATCAATTGGCATTCATTACACCACGTAGATCCATACCTGTACATTATATGCTTACAAGTAAAGCCATTGCAGCGAACTCTCTGGGATGGGGAGTCCAGACCGACTGATTTCACATGCTCATGAAACAAAGTTTACAGCCCAAAGCTATCTAGCGTCCATCTGTCCCGCATTCCGAATGATATCACCGGCCACTCTGTTATTTTTGACAGCTCCGATCTACTGCAGATGCACAGTAAGGTAATCTTGAAATTAGCTCTTATTGTCACATTACTACCAACCAACATACGTCCCAAACTACCGAACTTCGCAAGGACCGTCTCCCCAGGTAATCTCCTCGTCGGAAAGATATATTAACAATTAAAAGTCTCTAGTACACAATAATACCCACAATATAAAAGCGAACAACACCACCGTCCCGCTCATCCAGACAGTAGCTGTAGACATGGGCCTAGACCAACAAACGATAGTAGTCCACACCACACCATACCATCCCATACCCATCCCATCATGCAAATATTCGTAACAAGAAAAAAGAAGACCCTAGTGCCACATAACTATTCATACACATGAACATGACAAGATCCTCCATCATCGTCATCGTTATCAAAGTCGTTTCTCTCACTCACTCACCCATCCACGCCTATACCCTCAACGGAGAATCGAACTGTGAGTCCCCTGCCTATACTGGCAACTCCGCATTCCTTCTTCCACCCGCCAGCGTCTCCAGAACCTTTTGAATAAATGGTCCCACGACGGGGATATTCCCCGCGAACTGGCCAATTGTGATCAGGAAGTCGCCGAAGAGGATGAAGAGACCGTACAACTCGATTATGAACCCGGTTAGCGGCCAGCGGAGGAGAATGAGTAGAATTCCAGCGGCGAAGGCAGCGGTGCCCTTGAGCTTTTGGCGACGGGAGAAGAAGGCGAAGGTCTTTTCGAGGCCGATTATTAGGGTGAGGCCGATGAGGAAGAGGATCTGCGGTGGAGTGGGTTAGTTGGGGTTTCCACATATCGCATTGGAGTAGGGTAGTTTAGGATGGCGTACATTTCCCATCGCCAGGCTAGATTGTTAATTTTGTTAGTTATATTATGTATTTGGATTATAGAGTTGGGTTGGATATGGACGTACAGTGAGCGATCGAAGAACATTAGGACTCCGCCGAAGAGGAACAAGCCTCCTGTTGGGGGACATCGTTAGTATGTGTATGGAGCGGTTGGTTGTATAGGTCGTCGCAAGCCTGTTAGGTAGACATACCAGCTGAGCAGAAGATTACTCCGATCTCTGTTGTAGAAAGGACGTGCGTTAGCCAATGACCCGGAAATGCTTTCGTGCGAAGTGTGCAAAGTAGGCGTTTCTTACTCTGATTATCGGACAACCACATTGTAGGCATTTTGCTGTTTTCTGAGACTATGTAAAAGTGCGCAGTGATATAATAATTGAAAATAATACGTCGAGGACTGAAACTAGAGCAGCTCGAGGTTGATTGTAGCGCTCAAGGATGCGATGCGTTCGTCGCTCGGGGATTCGGAGGCTTGCGGAGATCGCGTGCACGGGGCAGTATATATGGTGGAAGGGACGATGAGGCGGTAAACCCACGAATGGCTAGATAATGAAAAGGATGAAGATATCGCACGCCTATATATAGGCTGTCGTCCTGGAGGATTCACGAAGCTCTTGAAGTACAGGCGCCAGCAATGCAAGTAAACACGGAACAACTGCGGCTGCTGCGCAAAATTCCCAATTCTGCCACGTCCCTTTCTTGGCTAGGTTTGTGCTATTCCGCGTTGGGATGGCGGTCGGGCGATCAACAACATTCGCACAGCCGCCATTTTCGGCTCTGCTAACTCAACTTCTCAACCGATTCTACCTCCTAATGTTTACCATCGGGGGAGAACGATGCGTGTCGACAACATTCTTCAGATTGCATGCCATTGACTATGGTCTTTGATGACGGAACATCTAGTCAAGCCTCTCGTGTGCAATACTTCTACGACATGATTAATGCATCAATGCAGGAGACACGCATCGCTTCTACAAAAGGAGTGCATACAACGGTATGAGGTATCAAGATGGCTTCAATTAGCCACTCTGTTACTGCAAATATCCTGCCGGTTTATACCTAGCGAGCCCTTGGGCTAAACTCTCATTTCACGCCGCGGCAACAGCATCTTCGGATGCTGTAACTGATGCTCCGTTCCTGGAGCTTCGGTACTAGTCGAGTGCAACTTGCACAAGGCGAAGATAAAACTTTTATAAGGTCACGAATAAGCCGGAGCGCTTTCTTTGAACCTGTCTCGAGAGGGGCATGGTGGGTGGAAAGGGCTTGACTGTGTTGGCCGTACATAAATCGCGTACTAGATTAGGCTGCTATCTGGCAGGACCTTCGTTAGAATCCGAATGCATTATCTCTGTATAGAAATTCAGCGCCTTACCCTGATATCTTACAAATAGAACAAACATTTCCGTAGCAAAATCATAGCATCATTTAAGCACAACATGGGCAGCCCTGAGTTCCAAATAGCTCTCCGGCACTCCCTGACCAAGTGTCCTGATCACACCAAAGATCTCCTTATCGTGGTACCTCAGTCTGGTCTTGGGATCTGTGTATGGCGCAGGCAGGCCTGTTATATCGCAGTAGCGGGTTTGCTGCGACGGGTGCAACGAGGGCGCGGATTCGATATTCGTGTACGTTACGGCAGGTCCAGATGTAAATGCAGCTCGTGCGTTCTTTTCCAACACCAGTGTGGAGAGGTTCTGCGCAGCCTGCGCGATGTTCGTTCGGGGTGTGCCATCGGCAGGGGTTTGGCTGCCGTCGGTGCTGGCGGACGTAGCTGCGAGCGGGGTGGTTGCGCCAGAATTGGACTGTGTCGCCATGACGGAAGCCTCCTTCCTAGAGCTCTCAGAAATAAGCTGCTTCACGTTCTTGTTGCGACGCTGCGATGGCTTCCAATTCGGATTGCGGAACGGACGGGGAACTGCCGCAATGTCAAGGCGATCGAGAAGCGCTTGGTGATTCTCCTGTTCAACGGGAGTCAGAGGAGCCATGGCGATGATGGGGCGTTGAGATGTGAGAGAGCTTTGGATGAAAGGATGAGGCCGGAGTATTGATCGTTGTGGAGGGTTGATTGCTGAAGCCGAACTGGGGAGTCTGGCGGTGCTAGGTCGTCCTCGTCCAGGCCTTGCTCAAGTTGTGAAGGAAGAATGCACGATGCGCACCAATGTCACCAACTGTGATGATCAGATGGCGCAGTAATAATTACTGCTCTTCCAGAGATAGAATGAAGAGATAGAATGAAAAAAGTAGTGAAGTTACAGAATAAGCCAAACTAATATCTGGATAGTGAACCTTCCAACCTACTTCCCATTCCACCAGCTCGGCGTCAGTCACGTGGAAGCGTATCTTGGGTTGCCGTGAATCCAAAGAAGCAACAAACAACAACATCAATCAAGTCCATCCACGAACTACACTAGATCGCAAAGATGGTAAGCAGTGCGGCGCACTGGATGAGTTATTAGTGACAAGACCATACTAATAGTATATATAGGAGAGTCCACATGAGCACCAGCAGGCCCTGCTGCTATCCCGCATTATCGGCAACATCGTATGTCACCCAGAGGGCATCCTAGGTTGCAATGGCTGATCGGCTTTAGGAAAAATTGAACGAGTCAATCATGGTTATGAACAGAAGCCTCCAGGTAAGCACATTTGCTCGCTTTTCTTAATGATAGAGTACTGATGGGCTTCATTAGGAGGTCAATATCCAGAACATGAACGTCGAACTCGTCGCACAGATGTTCAAGAACTACCAGTCTAACGTTCTATTCCATCTAGAAGGTAATTTCCCTTAGGATGCTTGGTTGGACTTGGCTGATCAGCATTAGCGACGGAGAATTTGAAAGATCCATCATCCTCGTCGTCCAGTTCTTGATACCCAACAGTGTTTCCCAGTTATTTTACCTAGTTATTTGATAATGAAGACATGATACACACGTTAAAAGATCTAATATTCACTTATCTTATGTATTTGAAAATGGATAGTAGACCGAGTAGAGACAGCCAGCAGTGTGACTTTTAGGTTCCTTCAAGAGCATAGTTACTCGCATAGAGTGACCGGCTTGGCGGCATACGAGCGCCGCTGGCGGTGGCCGGAGAGGCCTCCACGGCCCGGACCAAAGCTGGGGAACTTTCAAGCTCCAGTTTCCTTTCCTTCCTCATCACCAACACCACCGCAACCTGCGTCATCCTATCTCTGACAGCCTTATCGGCGCGCATCTATCTTCTGCTAGCGGGTATCTGGCGTATTAGCCCCTGCGACACTCACTGCAATGCAGTGAGCGGTGTTTACCTGGAAGCTTCCAAGTTGCTGCTAAGAGCGCCTGCGTCCAACCACCATGGCTATCACCTCGATCCAGCCGGTTCTACCGACCCGGTTTACGATCAATTCCGAGAAAGGTGCCACGAAGCCTCCTCCGGAACCTTACAATGTACAAGACCATCCTTTCAAGGGCTACCACCCCCCTCAACCCGAAGGCTACGAAAAGAGCAAGAGTACTAGCGCCATAGTTATTGATAATGGTGAGTGATGGTCTAGGCTTGAGACTGCATCGTGTACAGTCTGCTGACTTTTGCGATCTACTTGAAGGTTCAAACTTGGTCAAAGCCGGTTGGTCGTTCGACAAATCCCCACGTTTCGTGCTTCCTCCTGTGATGAGCCGGTATCGCGACCGGAAGCTCAACAAAGCCTGCCAATTCATCGGATACGATTCTTATGTCGATGCGACTACGCGCGGTCAGCTGCGCTATGCCTTCGACCCTGGCACGAGTGTTGTGGGCAACTGGGACGTCATGGAGGGAGTGTTGGACTATCTGTTCATCAAGCTGGGAGTCGATGGTGCCAATGGGGGTGTTGACAGGCCGATTGTTATGACCGAGCCGATCGCAAACCTCGCCTATCCCAGAAGGAGTAAGTGATATCGCTTGCGGCTATAATGATGGTATTGCTGACGCTCTGCTAGTGATGAACGAAATCCTATTCGAGTGCTATTCCGCGCCGTCGGTCGCCTACGGAATAGACTCCCTATTCTCCTACCGGTACAATCGCGGAAAGGACGGACTCATTATCTCGTCTTCGCACACCTCGACCCATGTGATCCCGGTGCTAAATAACAAGGCTCTGCTCTCCAACTGCTCGCGACTGAATTGGGGTGGACTGCACGCATCGGAATACCTGCTAAAACTCATGCGCCTAAAGTACCCGACCTTCCCCGCAAGGATGACGGAGAGCCAGATGGAAGATATTGTGCACAAGCATTGTTACGTTTCCAAGGACTACGACCAAGAGCTGAGCCACTACCTAGACTGGACGGGGCTGGAGGAGCGGGACTGTATCGTCCAGTACCCTTACACCGAGCACGTTGTGCCCGAAAAGACCGAGGAAGAACTCGCCCGGATTGCCGAGAGGAAGAAGGAAAGTGGGCGTCGGTTGCAGGAGCAGGCCGCTAAGATGCGGCTGGAAAAGTTGATGAAGAAGGAGCAGGAATTGGAGTACTACAAGGACCTACAGCACGGACTGGCCTCGGAGACGAAGAAGGAAGCGAGGCGCATTCTCGAAGCGGAGGACCTGAAGGATGAAGCCCATCTAGATCGATTGATTCGGGATCTTGAGCGGTCCATCAAACGATCCCGGAACCGGGACCTGGGGATCGAAGAAACCGAAGAGCCCCAGGAAGAGATGTCTTTCCCGTTATTGGACGTCCCGGATGAAGAATTAGATGAAGCTGGTCTGAAGGAAAAGCGTCATCAACGACTAATGAAATCCAACGTTGAAGCTCGACAACGCGCTAAGGCAGAGAAAGAGCGAGAGAAGGCTCGTCGGGAGGAGGAAGAACGGCTTGACCGCGAGAAGCGCGAGAATGATTTCGAAAACTGGCTAGCTGAACGGAGAGCAAACCGTCAGGTATGGTTATTCGCTACACTATTTATGGCATATCTAACGTTTCTCCCCAACAGAATATCATGCAAAAGATCAAGGAACGTGACAGGATGAAGGCGGATCTGGGTAACCGCAAGTCATTAGCCAGCCAGATGCGCATGAAGACCCTCGCCAACCTCGCTGCGGATGGTCCCAAGAAGCGGAGGCGTGGCGGGGACGACGACACCTTCGGTGCCAACGATGAAGATTGGGGTGTCTATCGAACGGTGGCTACAGGCGAACAGAGTGATGAAGAGGAAGAGGAAGACCTTGGAGGCATGCTTGATGCCGTTGAGAAGGAACTACTCGAGTACGATCCCGAATTCACAGAGAACCACACACTCGCAGCGCAATCCGACTGGACGAAGAGCTTGGTACATGTCTTCCTCCGGGGTCCCTGGCCCTTCGATCCTGAGAGCCAACGTGAGGCTCACCAGCTGCATCTGAACGTGGAGCGAATCCGCGTTCCTGAGGTGGTTTTCAAGCCGTCAATTGCGGGCATTGACCAGGCCGGCTTGTTGGAGATCGCGGCCGATATTGTGAACCAGCGGTTCCCGAACCCTGAGGAGCAATCGAAACTGCTGCGGGATGTTTTCCTCACGGGTGGCAACACCATGTTCCAGAACTTCGACGAACGTCTCCGCAACGACTTCCGCGCGTACCTCCCCGTGGACGCCCAACTCAACGTCCGGCGTGCGAATGACCCGGTCTTGGACGCATGGAAGGGCGCTGCACAATGGGCTTCAGGGTCTGAACTGGCGAAGTCCTCGATCACCCGGCAGGAATACTTGGAGAAGGGCAGCGAATATCTCAAGGTAAGCACGGGAAAGATTCTCTCGACGTGACACAAGCAACATTGACTAATAACCTCCAAATAGGAACATGATATGGGCAATGCCACCACATGGTAGACGCCAGAGCTTGTAATACGTTTTGCTTGTCCAACATCCATACACCGAGAGAGATCTTGGCATGATGCGGTTAGGGGTATACGGAGTCGGGGCTGAGGACGCCTTTGGTAGGTTGTGGATCAGCGATGCGACTAACCCAAGCTGCGCCACTAAACTACCAAGGGCGTCAATGCTGGTAGTAGTGCGTATCCAGGGCGCGAAGGAACAGGGAGTTGGGCGTACGCGTGCTAAGTCGGATGAGAAATTTAATTTCGACGAGGGAAGATTTGATAAATGAAGATGGCATAGTCATTTCGTTTCTTCATTCTGCTTATTTTGTATGCTACCTATTCTTCTTTTTGCTCCATTTGTCTTCTCCCAACGGTTGTATAGTAAGTAGACTCATTCGAAACAGGATCCTGGCGCCTGCAGATCTGACTATAGCCCTTTCCATCATCACTCACTTGAACACGCACAATGAGATAGGGTAAAGTACGTACTGGGGTACGTTGAGAAAGCTTTCTCTGTTTTGGCGATGCGGATGCCAACGCTTTAGTGAGGGCAGCACGTAAACATATGCTCCATGTGCATCTCAAAACGACACTAATCGCTCAGTAAGCACCCACCCCAAATTCAGCCCCGCCTTCTAGATATAATATTATGAAAAGCTATCGTAAATATCGCGGACAGTACTTAGCAGCTGCTGATTGCTCCCCGCCAGCCACTCACCCACACCGGCCATGGCGTGTTTGCTTATTAGCTCCTTGGATTACAGCAGCGACCACAGTCCTGTTACACTACCTACACTAGATGCATGCTACAACGCCACTCGTCAACGTTTTCAGCTGCCATGGCAATTGACCTTACTGATCAGCGAGCAGGGTACTAGGTGGTTGTTTCCTCGATGGAATGGATTCCATTCAGCGCGTAAGCACACTTGCCCGGCCCCTTCAGAATTAACTGTAAGGGGGAGGGTCAGACTCAGCTGCTTGTCTAGTCAATGGGGTAATAAGTGCGTTGATGATAAAAGCCTTGTGAGGACGCTTTCTAGATAAACTGGTAAACTGTGCTCTGCTCTACCTACACAGAATGTATGTGTGTGGATGTGGTGAGCCCCATTGCAACCCTATCCGCCAGCTGATATCAGCAACGCAAGGCAGGCGTTATACAGGCCGATCTTAAGTGACTGTAGCCCACAGCAAACCCTGCCGACTGTGCATAGTGTGATATGACTCGGTCTGTTGTTTGTGGTGGGTGTGTCACCCATCCATCATAGATCATCCTGGATGCATTATTACATTCGTCGTAATGCATTTACCTGAATGTGTCTATCATATGTATTGCATCTTGTTTTACTTTGCTTCGACCGTCATATAATACGGCAAGTAGCGACTATTTCCACGAACACCAAAGTCTCAACAACAATACAACTTCATCACCATCATATGCGAATTGCTCTGTTTAAAACTCAACAAGTCTTCACCATGAAGATCAGCCTCATCTGGGCCGTTAGCCTGCTCTTGAATGTGCATGCTGCAGTTATTCCACGTAAGTAAGATTCTCCTCTAGTAGGGAACATGATGCAGATTATAACAAGGAGTAGGAGCTGCCGAGTCCGCGACGTCCATCGAAGCAGGTGTCCGCGCTGCTGAATTCGGAGCTGGTGGTATTCATGAAAGAGCTGCTTTGTCATATGGAGAGGGTGATAGTAAGGTGGATAATAAGGAGGACAATACTGTTATTGGGGAAGGGTGGTAGATGATCACTAGAGGTTGTCTTGATGTTATATGGGGAGAGTGATGGAGATGTCGTGCGTCTTGGGTAAAGGATAGCGCTAGTTACGGGTGAGGAACTTATAGTTGATAATTGATCTTATGAAGGGAAGGTATCTCCATTCATCTCTCTTCCATTCTTTTGATACATATTAGATCTCCCCATTACATACTCAACCTAATCCCATCCCCAATCTCCATCTCCCCCTCTTCACACCTCGTACAATGATCAACTAGTCGAATGGGCTGCTCACTATCCTTATAACAAGCCGTTCTCTGACGAATCCACTCCTTCCGGCTCTTCCAATCGAGACACTCCCTTGCCTGTCCATCACCAGTTTGATTCCGTCCCCATGTGTAGAGAAGCGTATCTCCGGATGTCCCACATACTATATACTGCAACAGGCTGTCGAAGCAGTGCCAGGAATGTTGGAGGGGAAGTTTAGGTGATTTCCCAGATCTGATCTCTAGGAGAGTGCGGCGAATTATCGTGAGGCAATGAATTTGGTGGTACCTATCAAATCCGTGTTCATTATTAGTTAAGAATTCCTGAAGATCACGAAAATATCATTCGTAATTCTCAAGGGACAGAGAAAGCAGTATTTGGAAGGCTGGTTGGTCTCACGCATCGAGAATATACACCCCTTTGGAAGAATCTGATGGAAGACTCATGCTCGATGGGAGGTGATTCTTCGCAGCCCATCCGTGATCAACCGCGACGAAGCCGTACGCTGGGACGATTCCCTCCCAGGCCTTATTCACGGCCTCGAAATCTTCGGGCTTCGAAGAGCTGTAAATTCCTGTAGACCATTGGAACTGAATCCAACGATTGCCGTGGGAGGCCGTCTCTTTTGATTTTATGCTTGATTAGAGAAAAACCCCAGATCAAGCGAGGGTCGGAGAGTCGATAATAGTACTACTGACCGTATTCTGGATTAGGCTGGGGGGTTTCAGCAACCAGCGGGAACAAGATACGGTCTACTAAGAGTCCTGTGCAAAGGATACTAAGACAGAATATCAAGACATCTCGCCAGATATGGCGAAGGGAGAGAATGTATGCATAAAGGCGCTCGGGTAGAGAGGGAGGATTATTGGGTCCGGATGGATCAAGCGAGACATATTCAGCTTTTGAAAGTCGGAATTTAGCAGGCATGTTCGCTTCAAATCAAGGCGTAGTGCACTTTGGAGCGTGTCTATAGCTGAAGCATTGGTGTGACATATCGTTACTTTTAAATACTGTATCGTGTTTGCAGGTAATGTGAGTTTCTGTGCTTGCCAGACTATCTCAGCCTCAGCCTTGTTCCGGAATTCGCTGGCTGCACCCGTGTAACCTGAAGGACTGGTCATACGGAAAGGCGCTGTCTTACGGTGAGACTATTTATGCAAGCAGTTCAGGGATATTTCAAGTCCAGAGGCTGATCCCATAGACGTTTATTGGCCCCTAACCCAGGATTGGTTAGGTACTAAGTACTAGCGATCAAATTGACTAGGGTTGTGCTACCTTCTACCTCCTAGCAAAGTCACCGTACATTAGCTCGAGTCTAGCCTTATTAGTTCTATCTCCCTCGTGACCTGAATTCTTTGCTCTGTGTTTGACGGATGTTGGGCCATCGAAGCATTGTGCCCAACAGCAGGAGACGTTGTTGGCCCGGGGTGCCATGGTCTAACAAGGTTCACATTAGACGAGTTTGAATTTGTCAAGCCGTTTAGGCTGTTGTTTCGTAAAGCGCTCGATGTTGTCGACGTGGGAATTCGGTATAGGTATCTTTTGAAACTGTTGATTAGAGAATTCAACTCGCGTTTTTTATACATTGGCCGCAGAGAAGGGAGGCAGATAACGATGACACCGAGACCGCATTCTATCATGGTCCAGAACAAGAGGTATGTGACGAGTGCTGTTCTGTTAGCTTTGGTCATTGTATTGTGCCTGGTTTCGTACTTTCTCCATCTGATTGAGCAAAGGGGTTGATATGATGAGCGATGTAGATAGCCATCCGTGTCGCAGAAGCTGCGATTGCCCTTTGTGCGTGTCAGGCATACCCTATGGCTCTGCAGGAAGGGTACTAACAAGAGACCAACGAGAAAGACTAGCCCAAGTGCCATCTTTTGGCGAACGGAGATGTTCAACAACCATATCTGAGGCGGGGTGAGCTCGATAGTCTGTGGTCCCTTGCATGATTTACTTACCCGTGGCAGTGGTAGCAGCCATATAATCACGTCCATGATAAAATCAGAAATTGCATATCCCTCGACGATCGGGACCTGTACAGTGCATTCGGTTGTAACAACTGCAATAGTCCCCCAGGCGTTCACGGGATGGGCACCGCAGATAAAGATTGTACCAACTCCAAAGGCTACAGTCCACACCGAGACTAGCACAGTCATGCACATGGTCACAGAGTGGAAGGCAGTCCGAATGGTCCGTCTACTGCAGAAAATGCTGCGGTAGAAGTAGAGAATGCTGAGTTTCGTAAAACCAAATGCCCAGACAGTCACTATGTCAGCGACATATTGGATCTATAATGATTTAGTATTTGAATCCGTATTAAGCAGAGCGATTTGAACCTGTAAGAGTCTGATCTGTTGGTCAGAGTTTGAGAAAATGTAAGCATCTGGGCGTGGGTCATCGGGTTGGGGAAGAAGGCCCCCTAAGGATCCTGTTGTTGTTCCCCAGAGCAGCAGGGCGGCGAGAACATATTCCAGTCCCTAAATGAGTTCGTATTGTTGGCTTTCAAATGCTTGGGCCGATGTTATTTACCAGTGCGGGCAGCGTCAACCAGTCGTCAATCCACAACACAGATTTTGTCTTTCTTCTGGTATAGAAGCGAAGGATCACTGTTAAAGTACCCAAGACAGGGAAGAGGATAGAGATCGTAATGATTGCAGCGGGAGTTGCGTATGTTCGTGACATGATGATAATGTCGGTCTTGGAATCCCATCGACAATGAGAGAGGTATCATTATGCGATGAGGAGTGGACTACACAACAATAAAAACCATGGCGCCGATACTCCCCTCGCGTCCTCGCTTGAGGTGTGTGTGTGTGTATACCTTGTGGCCCTTCAGCTGGAGGCGGCTACGGGCATGCTGACTAGACTAGGTTACACTCCGGGATGATCCTGGCCAGGTCAGACTCTCCCACCAAACGAGTCTATTTTCAGAACCCATTTCTCAAGTGGCCTCTGTTTGTTTCTTCTCTTGCCTCTTGCTTGACATACTGTCAGCCTTCCTCCATCTCTCTTTCACTGAGTAACTTGAGCCTGATTTTTGATAATGTCTTTGCTCTGGAATGTGGGGGTTGCTGCCTTGCTGGCTGTACTTTGGACGGCCAGTGAAGCTGTCCGTCGCCTTTATTTCCACCCTCTAGCCCATATTCCCGGTCCTCGTCTTGCAGCTCTGACATGGTGGTATGAATTCTATTTTGACGTTATTCGGCCCGGTCAATACGTATTCAAGATACAGGAGCTTCACACAAGATATGGTATGTCATGCTCTGCTTCATGTGCGATCCCCGCTGACGATTGTAGGCCCAATCATCCGTATTACCCCAGACGAGGTTCATGTCAATGACGTCGGATTTTTGGACACTATTTACGCCCCTTCGATGATCAGAAGGGACAAGTATGGCTATCAGCTGAGGAGCCTTCGCGTCCCAGGTGGACTGGGCACAACCACCGACCATGACCTCCATAAAGTCCGGCGAGAGTCACTTACACCCTTCTTCAGCAAGAAGAACATTCAGTACATGGAGGGGTTGATCACAGACAAGGTCGACCAGTTGAAGCAGTTGATATCCACCCATGCAGCCAGAGACACACCAGTCAACTTGTCAGATGTCTTTTTAGCATTCTCAAATGAGTAGGTTGGCACATCTTTCGCTTGCTATCGAGGCTGATTGCCCAGTGTTGTCAACAACTTCCTCTTTGCGCACCGAACAGATGTACTTGCAAGCGAACCGAAAGCCGCCACCCTCCGCCAAAACAGCAAAGAGCTCTTGATGGGGATCAATATCAACAAGCACTTTCCGCAAATCCCCGATCTCCTGGAGTCGCTCCCAATGTCCATAAGCCGCCCAGTGATGCCTCCAGGCCTTATTGATTTGCTTGCCCTATTTGACGTGAGACTCTGCGCCGAACAAATAAACCAAGTCTAACGATTTAATGCAGCGGGTTCGTGAGGAGATTTTCATGATCAAGAAGGACAAAGAATCATCAGTGACTCACAAGAAGAACATTGGACCGACAGGTAAAGCGTCAGTATTTGATTCATTAGTGGACAACCCAAACCTGCCAGCCTCAGAGAAAACGCTCCTGCGGTTACAACAAGAAGGAGCCCTTCTAGTTCTAGCGGGAACCGAATCGCCAGCTCAGACACTCAACATCATATTCTATCATCTCCTTGCCAACCCCGCACTTCTCGAGAAGCTTCGCAGGGAGCTCCGTGCCGTCCCTGTACCTTCTTCATGGACCCAACTCGAGCAACTTCCGTATCTATCCGCAGTAATCGAGGAAGGCAATCGGCTTTCTTTCGGCGTCACGGCTCGGTCCGCACGTATCGCTTATGAGCCGCTGACCTATAAGCCTTCCGCGCACGTCTCCTCGACCTGTCCGCCCAGCACCAGAAGCAAGTCGTACATAATCCCAGCAGGCACTCCGGTGTGCACCACGACTCTGAGTGCGCACACTGCGGACACCGTCTTTCCGGATCCTTTCGTCTTTGACCCGGAACGTTGGATCGGCGATGCTGGGAAGGAGCGACGGAGGTTTCAAATGGCGTTCAATAAGGGAGGGCGACGGTGCCTTGGGATTGAACTCGCGCGTGCGGAGCTGTATCATGTGGTCGCGGCCCTGGTTCGAGAGTTCGACATGGCCCTATTTGAAACAGACGCCGACGATGTGGCATTTATGTATGATTACCAGGTTGCCATGCCGAAGATGGGTTCTAAAGGGGTGAGAATTATGGCGAAATTGGCTCATTGATAGTATCCATAGACCCGACTGCTACCAGATTTTTGGGTGACTAGGATGAGTAGTATATTGTGGATGGGACTGGTCAGAAACCATGGATCTAGTAGAGGATTAACCCTACACTATCCTGGTGGACTCAATTTCGGGTTGTGCCGCCAGTTCATTGCTATCAGGTCACTTAAAACCACCAATGTCTAGCGCTTGGGCGATGCATCATTTAAATTTCCAGCCTTACTAATGCCAAGTCGCACGGTGTATGCGCCGGCCTCTATCAACTGTGGTTTGGTCAGTGATTTGATACACTAATGCATAACTAGCTCTGTATGTCTCACTTAGTACTCTCTCCGCGGAAATTTTGTGGGTGGTGGGTCAGACACCGACGAACAATCAGTAGAGCTGCGTGCTAGGCGCTTATGTGCTGGGTGGACAAGAGCCCTGTGATTACTAGTTGGAGGGGTTGGACCCTTTCTTGCCCCGTACACTTGAGTTCGTAGGTCAGCGGTAGGGGTCTGTAGGTGATTGTGGGTACTGGTAGTCTTCTCAGCCTTGTTGGCCGTAACTTAGTCCCTTAGGGTACGGAGTACATCATTCCAACATTACTGCGCTAATTCGCAAAAGGATATTGTCTACTGCTAAATGCTGCTACCTGCGCTATCTGCCTTAATGTATTATAGCTGGCTTTTGATTACCCTAGCAAATGCAACTTCCAGCGTTCCAATATTATAGCCTCGTTCCGAGCTCCTCTCCCCCTTCCCCCCTCCTCCCCTAATCACCACCACCAGACAATGCTCCCTATCCCTCCGACAAGAGTGGCCAAGCAATTCTTCACACATTTCCCGTACTATCTCCAACTACGCGCATCGAAGATCCTCATTTCTAGCTTGTTCGTCTGGCTTTTAATATTCTTCTATTGCCGGGTCACCCTCTGGCGTGATCCACATTCTGCCTACTTCGAAGACCGCCATGTCTACGAGCTGGATTACAGTCTCCACCGCGAACGTGAGGCCTGGCATTTTATCTCACAGCATAATTCGGGCATAGATCCACCAGATTATGTGAAGAGTGGAAGCACACCATCTGTTTGTATAGCCATGGTCACTGTTCGACGAGACTCGGACCACTATTTTGAGGCATCTGTTGGCTCGCTGTTGGAGGGCCTGGATGAAAGGGAGCGGCAAGCGTTGTATCTCAGTATTCTTTTTGCAGATACAGATCCGAGAGTTCATCCCAGTTGGGATCAGAAATGGGTGGGCAGGCTCGTGGACTCAGCGGATAGTTATAACGTGACAGAAGGACAACTTCAGCATTTGCAGGATCTGGAGAAAGAGAAGAATTTCTATGAAAAGGGAGTCTTGTGAGTCCATTTTTCCCAAGTCCTTGATTCATTACCATCTGCTTCCAGGACCGAGCCAGCTAATAGTCTGTAGCGATTATATATACGCCCTACGAGCCTGTCAGGAAGTAAACGCCCCCTACACCATCATTTTCGAAGATGATATCATCCTTGCCACAGGCTGGTTCTCGAAGACTCTGAAGGCACTATCCGATATTTCACAACGGAGCCAACAGCCAAGGGATCCCTGGATCTATCTCCGTCTTTTCTACACCGAGACCTCATTGGGCTGGAGCGATTCCGACATGGCATACAGAAACATGCCCCTGATATTTGGCCTTCTCATGCTGTCTACATTCTCATCCTTATCAATGCTTCGGCACACTCGGTTCCAACGGCTGCACCTTGACACCCTGAGCATCGTGGTTATCTCTATGGTATGCGTTCCAGCCTTCACCGCACTCGTATACATGGCCGGAAAATACAACGTAATGCCGCTCCATGGTGTTGTTGAGATGAACCAGTATGGATGTTGCACCCAGGGCTTGGTGTTTCCGAGGGAAAATGTGGACGGTCTGATTGAGTTCTTGAGCGCAAGAGGACATGGTCAGACGGACTCTATGATAGAGGAATACGCTGATCAGAGCCAGTTGACTCGATATGCTCTGGCACCGCCCCAGCTGCAGCATGTGGGGTTGAAGTCGAGCCGGAACAATCTTGACATCAATACTCAGAGTACGTGGGCATTTTGGTTCGAGACCAATGATCCAGCCAAATTGAGAAGAGAGCACGCTACGCTTCTGGAAGATTATGATGTGGAGAGGATGCTGAACGTATAGACTTATCAAAATATAATTCCCGATCTGAAAGTAGTTGAAGGCGAATTGTTAATTCCACCAGATCACTGGAAAGCGATGGAAGTGCCTATGATTGGGATAATTTCGCCCGATGCCCAAGTTTAGAATGGACATCAATGTACACTGTGATCTATTTAGATTGTATATAGTAGATTTAGAGTTGGTGTACCGACACACAGGCAATGGCAATTCTCGGGTTGATGTAACCGTCCACATGAATTGTTAGGCCCGAGCATGTGGTTGTGAAACACAAACAATATGCAGGATATAGTAAGGGAATAGTGAGGTTCAACCAGGCTATTTTAGCATGCCTATCGGAGCATAACGTGTCAACCATAATTCTAATTTGACCTCCCATGCTCTATACAAGATTAACTACCGGTGGTAAATTAATCCTATTTAGGAAAGTTTACAACACATGCTATTTACCCAGACCGCCTGTCCGATTCAGTATACCACGAATTGCTCCTTTCGGTTAGGATCATCACCACTGTAGGCAGGAAGTGCAGGAAAACAGCATATCCAATGTCAAATCAAAAGCGGGATGCAGCACAGATACTTGGCTGACCGCTGCCAGTCGCCAATGCTTCTATCCTTGTGGGTCGGCCTATAATAAACGCCAGTTAAAGTCTGTTCTTGGTTCATGAGGCGGGGAAAGCGTCCGTGATCACATGTAGCAGGTACCTATTAAATTCAAAGTAACGTCATTAACCTTCATTTCCTTCACTACTTCATTGTATCTCCTCCTCTGAAAAGCACAACATGTCAACAACAACAATTGAGCTAGCTCCACAAGGGCTACAGGAGTCACAGAGCCCAGTTCAACCATTCGGTCCAAGTACCGAAGAGGCAATCGTACAACAGAAGCAAAAGTGGAATGATCCTCCCATCAATAGATGGCGTCTTTTGGCTACATTTATCAGTTTCACAGTTGTGGGGGCAAATGATGGTGTTTACGGAGTGAGCTCTCTTTCTCAATGACCTTCCGCATCAGTGAAGGATAACAGACTAATCACTTGTTCTGCAGGCCCTCGTCCCATATGTATGCGTTTTATAGGCCTAAGCCGGTTCATTTAAACCAGAGAGATGCTGAAAGTGAAGTAGCTTCGCGAAGACTATAAATTGTCTACCACCGTGGTCTCTTTGATCTTCGTGACTCCGTTTGCCGGGTATACGATAGCCACGCTCATTGTCAACAAGATTCATATGACGCTTGGACAGCGAGGGATTGCGATCATCGGTCCTCTATGTCATATCATTCCATATGTGATAATGGCCATTCATCCGCCTTGGCCGGCAATGCTGGCTGTCTACGTGATCGTCGGCTTGGGCAATGGCCTCATTGACGCGGCATGGAATTCCTGGATTGCTGATATGGCTAATGCGAACGCCATGATGGGGGTCCTTCAGGCATTTTATGGTCTCGGGTATGTGGACATTGTGATGTAAAATTACTACCCCTTGGCGATGCTGAGGACCACTGCAGGGCAACCATAAGTCCACTGGTAGGGACTCAGGTGATCAAGTCCGGCCTTCGCTGGAATTATTTCTACTATACACTGCTTGGTGGGTCCGTTCTAGAACTAATGGTGAGCTCTACTCTGTTCTGGAAAGCAAACGCGGTTAGCTACAGGGCCACGAATCACAGAAACTCCGACAGTGGCGATGGGAGCAGGACTACAGAGGCTATGAAAAGTCCTATTACCTGGCTAATAGCAGTTTGGCTGTTCGTGTACATGGGAGTTGAAGGTGCGTCACTCTGCTAGATGACTGATTAATCGGCCAAACTGATCATGTAATCTGATCAGTGTCGGTCGGTGGCTGGGTCGTGGACTTCATGGTTCAAGTTCGTCATGGCGCGCCCTACCAATCTGGCCTGATTCCAACCGGCTTTTGGGCTGGTGTCACCGTGGGCCGTCTTGTACTCGGCTTTGTGAATGACTGGTTGGGTATGCTTCCCTTTCCTCCACCAAAGCCTGACTACATGGATACTGAATGATAATCAAGGAGAACGAATTGCTATCAGCATTTATCTTGTGATCTCAATCGCCCTAGAGCTTATCTTTTGGCTGGTGCCACAGTTTGTCGTATCTGCAGTGGCGGTCTCGCTGCTTGGCTTCTTCACTGGCCCTCTATTTCCCGCAGCCATTGTTGTGGCGGCTAAGCTGCTCCCCAAGCACCTACATACCCCCGGCATTGGACTTGCATCGGCTTTGGCTGGTGGAGGTGGAGCAATGTACGTTTATCTCCCTTACTTCACAAAGCTTTCCGACCTATTGTTGCTTAAACTACTTGACTAATATTCCGCTCGACCGTAGACTGCCATTTGTTGCCGGTGCTATATCCGGGGCGCGCGGTGTACAAAGCCTGCAGCCGTTCGTTCTCGCGTTGTTGGTTGCATTGATCGCCATATGGGTGCTGCTCCCACGGAACAAGCATCATGCTCACGGCGTCTGAATCAATGATATAAATGCGTGGTTAGATAGATACCAGTGCTTGAACAAGAGCTTACTTTCACAAAGGGACTGCCGCTATTCCCTTATTCTGCGTCCCGCGTTGCAGCCCCTAGTATATAGGAGTCCTTGTTGTCCGCGTTTAGTTAAGAATCAGTAGATCTTTGCGTTTCCAAAATATTATAAATACTTTTTCCGTTGCCTGCTGACCCCATCTTTTGACCGAGGGCAGCCGTGAAGCACGATATTATAGACAAGACAGAGTATACGACCTAGCTTGTCTCATCCTCTGAAATAACCTCTCAGTAATCCTTGCTTGTGCATTCTCCGGCAGCCTAATGTTGGGGACCTACTCTTTTGCCTACCGCCAGCCTTAGAGCCATATCTTGTCCGGGCTAAGAAGCTTCTCAGCAGTGAAATATCGCAAACATATCGAAGCCGTGCAAACTCCAGAGGGAAGCGTTGCTATTGCCCAACATTATCATAGCCGAGCTGCCAGAAATAGAGGGAATTCAGCCAGTCAGGCCTGTTGCCAAAGCGCACGCGCAGCAACGTGATGAGGAACAGGAAACTCCTCATCAAAAAACTGTCTGCAAATTCCAGTCCTATGTCTCAAATACCAACTCCAGATGAATCTGATCGCATCATGCATGTTGTCGTATAAGATTCAGATTAAGGTCCAAGAGGGAGCTCAGATGTCGGGTTGGATTATGAATGGGATATTACCCTCTTCTACATAAACTGTGGGTCCCTTCCTTATCCCAATACCTGTCCTTCTTCAGTCTTATACTAAAGGCACGCAGAAGCTCTTATAGATCTCAGCTCGACACGAACTCTTCATCACTTTTGCAGAGTATGATGGCGGCTATATATTATATCTCCGACAGAGGCCCGCAGACACCCAACTCCCGTCATTCTTAACCTGGTTCATTTCCTTGGCTAAAGATTAATAGGAAGCTGTATAGAATTTGAACTCCCGCTCCCTGGATAAGGCTGTACAACCAAATGAGATTTAGTAGATATCTTATTAGTTGATATAGTAGCTCGAGTAGGAAAAGAGGTTAGATAGCATGTGTCGGTCTGATCAATTCTTGGCGGCCAGGTCCAGATGAGCTGGAACAAAACAGATTATATCAGCCGCCGTCTTATGTTTGCTTATAGCTGTAGCGACCACGCAGACCCACGCGTAGTACTCTACAGGGAAGAATCTAATAGTAAACCTCTCATGGTAATATTCAGAGGCTCACTGGGTCTCTTTTCTTCGAGTAAATCTTTCCGGATTCATAAATAGTGTTCCAGTCAAATACTTCATGTCTTTGAGCACTATAGTAGCAAACTCAACGAAATTGAACTTCCTTAAACTGAGCGCGGGTTTGAAAGCAACTGGATGTCTAAGTTTTGCTATCAGTCAGGTTAGTAACTTATTGACTTGTCAGTCACATTACTGCTTTGTTTTGTTGTAATATTAGCATCCTTTATGAAGTCGAAGTAGTTACTATATAGGAGTTCAGTAGTCATCCTTAACATTGATAGTATCGGGTGGAGTGGGAGGAGTGCTATATTTTCTCATGTACTCATGACCACTACGAGTAGCAGCGGCACCCCGTATCGAGCGCCGTAGCGGGCAAGGCACCAAAACCAATCATGCTAGGGATCATCATGATCAGCTCTGCACCCTTGATTGCACCCTTGTCAGTTTTGTCAGAAGTTAATCAGCATCCTGCCGATGTCGTGAAGACCGTACTTTCGACACACTCTACAAAGGAGATAGTCTTGACAAATTTAACACCCAACTAACTAGTAGTACGGAGTACGCCCCGCCACAATCTCAAAAATGAGAAGCAGCCCCCTTGCCTAGATAGGCAGATTCAAAACATGCGAACTCAACGAGTATCGGATCTATGCATATGTATACTTTTAGTTTTGGGCAGACCTTGAACAGGTTCGAGTAACAAGAACGAGAATAAGAGTTCAAACCATGGCGGTGGAAGAAGTCTAAACGGATAAAGGTTCAATAGCTGTCCCCGTGGCTGGAAATAGTCCGAGCATGTTTTCGGTGGATGGGAGGGTTGGGATCCCCGGATCAGCGAGATTGATCACGGTAGAAAGAGATGCAAGGAAACCCTGGCCAGCCAGTTGTGAATGAGGCTTAGGATTGGTAGAGTACAGTTGAGTTTTGGGTTGGCAAGTAGGTGTCATGTGTTTTGTTCGGTTTTATCGGGAGGGGAAGGGTGGAAAAAGGTAAATAGGTTTCGGTTATTGAGTTTCGGGGGGAGAGGTACGAGACATAGGAGGGCAGCTTGGTATGCAGGGAGGGAGGTGAGAGATAGCTACGATAGCTACTTTGTAGGGTATAGTATTGAGGGAGAGAAGAAGAGGGGGAAAGAGGGGAACACACATGCATACTTGATGCGGTGTTCATACCTACCTGCATTACAGACGGGATGTCATACAAACAACTAAACGGGCATCCCTGCTGCAAGAGACAATCATGCAGGTAACAGCGGTGGTGGTGGTGGTGGTGGTTGAGTATGTAGAGCGGAATACCAAAGTGTGGATCAACCGGAAGAAGCGGGAAGGTGTCGACCCAATATCCATGGCCATCCAATTCCTGCTCTCATTCAGCCTTGTGGGTCCGGCATCACAGGTCCATTGTTGAGTCACGAAGCCTACTCTGTACAAGCCATGCCATCTGAAAGAAAAGACAGAGAGGGAGGGATGGATAACCACGGAAAGGGAGGAGCAGGTGACTGCTGAAATCCGAGGAGGGGAGGGATGATCTCATCCTGCCGACCGTTCCGGGATGCGAGGATCTGCAGAGTTGCAAAGCACGGCGGAAGATTTAGTCTCACTGTAGCTCGAAGCTTCTCGAGAGAGGGAGGGAGTGCATTGACTGATTATTGATCCCGTTGGAACCCGCCGGGTTGCACGATGGGACGTGGCGTGGTCGCCATTGGTCTGTGCCGAAGCTGGTGGAAGCTGCTTGATGACCAGCGCTGAGTACGGTGCTGAGTCACGGTGAAATCATAGTTAGTTAACATTCCTGGAGATAATTATTCAGTATGAGTGAAAAGACTAGATGCTTCTGATGATGGAATAGATGATAGAGATGGGATGGACAGTGAGTAGTGATGATGGAAAATTGTAGAAAGGTAGCCAGAATTGAAGAATGAAGATAAGACCGAAGGAAATCCGACGAGATCCAGACCGGGCGATCCCCCGTGACGCCAAGCCATGACGATGGAACTTGAGTGGCTTCACGGCTTCAATTCTGGCTTCTTCCACCCTCCAATCCTTCAATCACCGTCCAGTCACGCAACCTGGCAATCATGAGTTGACCAACAACACCCTCTCTCCCTTGCCTGGTCCGTTCCCGACTCTGTCCATCTGGCTCCATCCATCAGTCCATGGTCCACGCTGATCCTCACACTAGCCATGCCGGACCTGATCCCCACCCCAACTGTGATGCAGACCCAGCTGCGTTGTTGCGGTTGTTGATGTTGATGCTGCTGTGATGGCCATTGCCTTCCACCTCGGTTGGGCACCCCTCCCATCCTAGGAACAGTATGATGCTGTCCCCTACCTTAGTACCCCTCTGTTGATGTGGTCTTCCTGCACAACTACGGCAATCTGGTCAGTGCAATCACACAACCGACACAACAACTGGTCCGCCTCGGAACTGACTTACTTCATGCAGAGGAAATTATGACGCATCTGGGGAAAAGCGCCAAAAAACCCGCCTAAGCTGGCCCTCCTTCCGTTGGCGTCCCTCAGTTTTCCCTGGACAGGCCACTACTACTGAGGGCCAGAAAAACTTTCGGCTCAAGCTTAAGGGGGAAAAAAAAAAAATACAACAACCTCTGACGTAAAAGATACGCCCCGTTAATTCGGTCGGCCATGCGCCCTTCCGTCCTATCCATTCAAGCCGACCAGGCGACATATAAAGAACCTTGTCCTGGCATTCCTTCCCCTCCTCATCATCCATTCATCAGAGTCCGACGAACCAGTCTGTCAGTGGAACTGAGCTTCTCTTTGCGCGTCGCCCAATAAACTACTAGCTGCCCTACTATCTCACTTTCTTCCCATCTCTATACACTTTCAGTCCAGTCAATCGCAGCCATGTTCTCCAGTACTGTGGCCCGTCCACTACAGCTGGTCACTCGGTTCATGCAGTGGGCCAGTGCAGTCATCGTGATGGGTATCACCTCCTACTTCATCCACAAGGGACCTCGCGGCCAGCACACCATCTACTGGGAAGTCATTGTAAGCATGCTCCCATCCTTGATGTAAACAGATCAAACCTTATCAACTAACCATGGATTAGTCGACCATGTCTGTTGTCTTCTTCCTGCCCGCCTTTATCTCGCCGTTCATGCCCAATGCCCTGAGCAAGTTTGTCTTGATCATCGATGTCATCTTCTCGTACCTGTATGTGCCATCCAATCAAGCAGCATCTATATCCTTCTGTGCTGATACTGACCATGACCACAGCTGGCTCACGGCTTTCATCTTTGCCGCGCAAGATTACAACTGGCACAACTGCGGCGCCAACTCTCCCCCCGGCCTATCCTGCTCCAAGAAGAAGGCCAATGAAGCCTTCATCTTCCTGACCTTCATCTTCACCTTCTTCGCCATCTTCCTCGAAGTCGGTGCTCTCTGGGCCTACCGTCGCGAGAGCACCCCAGTCCGGGAGAAGAACACCGGTGGCGCCCACGGCGGTCCTGCTGACGCGCCTGTGGCCACAGCCTAGACTTGAAACTCGACTGCCAGATAATCCGTCTCGACTAATGGCGGCGACGCATGCCAACGCATTCTCTTGTGCGTTCATGTACCGGTCTGCATGTACATCACGCACAAGCGATAGCTGTCGTCCGTCTCCAGCGAGATGATGATTCGATACCCTTTTCCGTCTCTCTCTACGACCACGATACCACAGTTGACTTGGCTTTGATTGAACATCTACTAATACTGATGATGTTAATACGTTTGATATCCCTACATACTAATGTCCATTCGTTAATGTCCGTACGACTTGAACACGCTTGAACGACCTGAAGAAGGAGAAGAGGAATAGGTGGTGGGTGTGCATAGATGGATCGGGGTGGTGACCGGGATCGTTGCTGTTACTAATACCATCTTTACTAATTACCACTATAATCTTGTCTTGTCATTCTTTACACAACTGATTTGATTCTGTTCTATTGGATCTACCCCGTGCTGTGCTGCGTCTGGGTTATCCAATGTGTAATAATAGTACAATAATAATATATGGTCTGTCTAAATTGCAGAAACATACTAACCAGCCGATAGCTGAATTTGTATTGTAGAGGTTGTAAAGGTTTTCCAACAATACATAAATAGTTGCTTATTGAGTTAAACAGTCATACTATAATAACCCGATAGTTACATATCAGTCAAACAAAACTCCAGCTCATCTTCGATAACATAACCCAAATACAAACCAGTTCAACTGGAAATCAAGGACCATTTGTTAGTCATATTTATCATTTCGGGGGTATCTGTCCCACTCTCTCCCCGAAATAACTCGAGAGTACTTCGTAATGTTCTGTTGCCCCGTCTTCATAGTATCTGACAGATAGATACGAGAGACACCAGATCCGATCTACAATGACTAATTCTTGTACTTTTAACCCATACCCGAAACAATCGGTGTGGTCTGTTCAAAGTTACTGCTTTACAACTTGTCTAGCTAACAGTATCGGAATGTATATATGGGTGTTTCTCAGTGTCTGCGGGGGATTACAACTAAGCCGGGCCGGTATAGATGAACTGACAGTAACGAAAATGTAATTCAGTTAGCTGGTAGTACTACTAGTCAGATGATTCGAGTTAGCTGGCCACGCAGGCAAAGATAAACTGCTAGTATGGGTTTGTGTGTATGTGTATGTGTATGGTTGAAAGCTTGAAGAATATTAGGAGATTTTGGGACAATTTAAGATATATTGAATCAGGGCAATGACAAACAGTAACCTTGAGTTTGTTCACTGTATTGTGCATATAAAGCTGTCGGTATGGACTACTCTTGCGATTTTGTAAGATTAATCAAGAGTCTGGTGTCTATTCATGGATTGGTCTATCTTATTATCGCTTCAAGTGTCTATCCAACTCGTGTCGTCCTCTGTCGCTCCAAAAGGAACTTCGTCTACACTTACAATCCCGGAGACACCCACCGGTCCAGCTCCACCCATACATACATTTACACACATCAAGCCCGTCCCAACCCCTGTGGGAAATCCAAAATGTTCAAAGGGTCCCACTTCTTCTTGATCTCCTTCAGCCGATCCAAAGCGTCCCCATAATACCTCTCCGCCCAGTTCTGCAAATACGGATCGATATAATTCTGATACGCTTGCCAACCGCCCTTAGGAGCGGCCTGGCGCACTGCATCCGCGACATCGGAAAGCCTATCAACTGCAGTCTCCCGTGCTGACGCATTTGTGAACCCCGGGAAATCCCAAGCATAGATTTGCGACATGAAGAGATTGTTTCGGTGGTTGAAAGCCATGGGCCCGACAGAGTCATCCGGGGGCAGGGTGGTAGCGGCATCAGGGCCATTCAGGTCGAAGGAGATGAAGGCATCAGGCCCTGCGGGCTGGATGGCGGAAAATATCCTCGAGATGGAGGCGCTGGTGTAGTTAGGGTGCCCGTCGTCGAAGAGGGATTTGGCGTAATAGGGTTGTGGGACAGACGGAGAGTCGAGGTCACCCATGAGATTGGTGAGAGCGGAGACCCAGTTGGTGTAAAAGGAGCTGGTGGTTGTGAGGGGCTGGATGGATTGGCGTGCGAGTGGGGAAAGGAGGCGCTGGATAGTTTCGTTGTAGGCGGCTGAATCGCCGAGGTATTGGCCCGTAAAGCTGCAGTAGGCCTTAGGGGGCTGGTAGCCACCATCTATGATGAGTTCTCCACCCAAAGAGGTCGGGAAGCCCGCAGAGGAGGTCGCTGGGTGGGATCCAATCTCTTGTAGGGTTAAAAGGACCTGTACGCAGTCTGACTGACTCGCGAAGCCAATGTTGTAGTTGACGATAGCCGTTGGGGCGGGCTGCATGCGGTAGGTGAACGAGGTAACGATACCAAAGTTGTTGGAGCCAGCACCCCGAAGCGCCCACCAGAGATCACCATCATTTGTGTCGTCAGTAGATGTGGTATTGGGGTTTGTTGCCTTAGGGCTGATCGTTCGGATGCGGCCGGTCACATCCACAAGCTCCAGTGAGACCACTTGGCTTGGAATTAGCTGGGAAATTCGGAAGGCATTCGAACGAATCATTCAACTTACATCTGTCTACTAGCCATCCCCACTCGCGAGAGGTAAACCCCCAGCCACCTCCCAGGCTGTGTCCAGCTACCCCCACCCCCGGACAGGTGCCATGAGGCAAGGCATACCCCGCGCGGCCCATCGCCAGAGCTAGCGGGCCAAGCTTCTGACCCATCTGCACGGTAACCTCCTGTGTGCTCTCGTCCAGGACAATGTCGGTCATCTGGCTGGAGTCGATGACGACTTGTCCTGAGAGACTGTACGCAGCATAGCCATGGCCACCGCCACGGGTCGTGAGAGTGACCCGGCCCTGCTCGGCTGCCACGCAGCGAACAGTAGCAGCAACTTGCTCCGTTGAGTTGGGAATGACAACAGCTTGGGGATGGGGGTGGTAATTGCTATTGTCCGCCACCGTGAGATTCGAGTACCCAGCATCCGTGGCGTACACAACTGATACGCCAGTAGCTCCTAGACAGGATTCAAGGGACCTCGGCAGCACGCCATGGTTGGCCGTTGCGGGAGTGGAGATGTTCCCAGGGTTCTGAGGCAGGGCTGCGAGTTGGTTGGGCAGCATGAACAAGACTGCTGCCGTGAATATGACTGGAGGAGCCATGATGTGAGAGCGAAGGTGGGATTATACTGCGGTAAGCTAGTACAAGGGGCATACCAGGGACTGGTGCAATGTCCTTGGCCGGTTTTCTTGGGGGAAGATCGGGGTAATGTAAGGGGGTAGCGGTGTGCACTAAGTCGGTTCGCGGTTCAGATCGGCGGGAAAAGAAATGGGAAAGATGCCATTTTAGCCAAGGGGCATGGTCATTCCGGGCGATCCGATATGTCTCAGAAGCACCGACAGATATAGAAGTCATTCTCGGATCTCTCCCCAATACGCCTTCCGCGGCTGGAACTCCACATACATTCCTTCCTCCGCATGCATCTCCCTCGCACTACCAGAACCACATCCGCCCCCTCTGCCCTTTCAAATCTTTCTTTGATTGACAGACGAAATTCTCGCTCGTCGGGCTTCATCCTAGACATACCTGCATCCCTAACTATCCTGCATCGCCTTCCTTGTGGGTGCTTTATTCGCCGCGATCACCCGGCCCAAACTCGGCCAATGTTCCTTTACTTGCTCTCAACCACCCCATAAGCACAAAGTATTGTTGATGCAAGGCCGGCAGTGGGGCAGACTGGTGGCCGATGACGAGCAGCCAGCAGTCTTAGCTCACAGACGCAACAAGGAGAAACTACCCGAGTAGACAGTGCGCAAATGCGATGCAAACTTAGAAGTCTGGCATGGCGAGGCCGGCGCGCTGACATAATGCAGACGAAAGAGGCTGCTTGGAGCGGTCAGGCGTCCTTTAGGCCCGAACAGCTGAATCCTGCGAGGCTGTGTAGTAATACCATACTGGCTGGTGATGAGTCAAACGCAACAGCATGTCGCCAACTCAATACTGATGGTCGCATCAGGAGAGCCCATAAGACCTTACTCAGCTTACGCCGGAGTTTTAGTCCAACAAAGTGCCAAAGCGGATGTTGTGGCTCAAGAGCCAGAATCGATCTCTGGGCAAATATTATAAAGCTCACAATAACACTGTTGGACATCGGGGCATCTAATATGTCGAGTCAGCTTTTTTCTCGAAAATTTGCGGCATTTAAGATTGGGCAACACATACGAAACTGGCTGCTCAAGAAAGATGATATGCCAGAGCATCTCGAAGACCGACCCCGCTGCAAAAGTATCCATATCGGTCGCCAGAGCCCAGTCGCGCATTCGCACATAGTCATCTCGTGGCCGCTCCCGGATCCGGTCCCTTGTGAGCACAAACTGACCACAGCAGACCCCACCGATCTCGGTAGGGACCTGCTCCCGCGGCACGGAGAACATATCCATGTAGATTGAGGTGAAGTTGCGATACACCACGTTATGGTTTGACTCCATGGCTGGATCAAAGGGGCGCACGGCTACGGGACATCCTGGACGGTGCTCACAGCGGAGATTCGCATATCCAGCCTTGTTCACGGCGTCCAGGCTGAGATTTTGAAGCAGAGAGGACGAAGCCGTGTCGCCGACATCGTTATGCCACTGAGTGGCAGAGGCATGCATGAAGGCCGTAACATCCGCAAGGTAGTCGTAGTGTTCAATGATGTGCGTCAGGTATGCCATGCCTTCGCGGGCCTTGTTCGCCGGGATAGGGCGGTAACCAGGCTCTTTGTCGGAGGTGTAGATGTAAGGTTTCCAACTATCCAACTGGTGAGCATGTCGTGATGGTATTTCGATCGGATCGAACTGGAGTTTAGAACACTTACTGGGGCTTGAGAGCATAAGCCCAGGTGACATCTTCAGAGCTAGTCTTCGCCAGAACCAGTGCGTTATGTTTGCGCCTAGCCGGGGGTTTCTCGACTCGACCTGCATAGCGTTAGGAACCCTAGCTAATTAAATCGATGAGCTTGGAGGTGGAAACGCACCGAGAACTAAGATGAGATCATCCCTCAATAGCCTGACGTACAGTAGAGCCAGGAGTCCCAAGCAAAACATGGTAAAGCACCATGTATACAGGCTTCTCGAGCACATGGGCAGACCCAGCGATTGGACCATTTTGTGTAGATCCCACTCAAGAAGGGATTGTTCGCCTTCGAAGACACTGCTGCCCTTGAATTGATCTCACCCGAGGCCGTTGAGGAAGTCAATGGGGAGGGTTGATGAAGAGGCTCAGCCTTGCATGGTGGTTCTCGCATTAGAGTTTGGAAACCCTGCAGCATCGGGCTTTGAGAAGGTGGCTTTGTTGGTCAGCGAGGCCACACGCGCATTGCAGAGAGAACCCCCAGCTCTCTCAAGATGATAAGTCCCCGACAGATGGCAGATAAATGAGTTGGATAGAAATTGGTAAGAACAGTGATGATCAATGATGATGTTGACGCTGATGATCGTCGGAGGAAACCTGGCGAGGTCCGATTCGGGGAAGAAACCAAGCCGCGTGTCACAACAGCCGAGGAGGGGGGCAGAGAGAGAGGGAGGGGGAGTTGGCAGCTGACAGCCACTCATCCAACAAACAGAACAGAACTCACCCGCAATTCAACCGACCGCTTCAGCAGCAGATCAAGTGGAGCGATCGCCTGGCAACTTTTTTCTTTCTTTGCTTTCCAGCTCCACGCATGGAATGACAGGGAAAAGAGAATGTTGACCGACGAGAAGAAGAAATCTATAACTCGACTAAGCAACAAAAGGGTTTCTTTCCGCTGGGTCCCGGATCCAGCCTTGCGTATGGCGAGGGTCTAGACTCCTGGGGCCGCGAATCATTCCGAGAGGAAAACTGGGGACGGGAACCACTCCCCAGTGCCTGGACCAACTATTTAGATTGTCGATGGGGACGAGCACGGGAAATAAATGAAATTGGCTCGGTTACACGTCTATGTGGTTCTATCTACAACTCATGTCTATCGGGATTGGACTAGAGACATGTACATGCCGGATGAATGCAACCAAAAGCATAGCAAAGGGAGATAGTCTCGGGTATAGAGCAGAAGATCGCCGCTGAAAGTCCGGGAGGAAAAGAGTAACACATGGAAAACAGAACTATCCCACCCTGCCGGCTCGGTCGCAGTCATACGAATAGCATCATATGTTGGACAGAAACATTAGATACTCGCGCGACGGGGCGCCAGCGTCCGCTGGAGCTTCTTCTTCTCCTCGGTCTCTTCGGGAAGCGGAAGTGATCCCTCCCGCTTCAGCTTTTCCAAGTAATTCTTACCATACGCATAGCCCAGTTGGTAGATCTCGTCAAACTTCGCAAAGTCCAGCGTCCCGTATGGATCAATGGGCGGGCGCATGTACAGGCACCCAGGGGTGTTTTTGGCACGTTCGAGGTTCTCGATCGACGACACATACGCCAGGCGTGCTTGAATCTCAGACAGCGTTGGTGGGTTAGGACACGAGCTGAACGGATTCCAGCGGTTCACCACTGCCCAAAACCCGGACAGGGAGTCGCCATACACTTGCGGGGTGTTGTCATCAATCGATCCCACGTCCACCGCAAAAATCACATCCGCACCCAGCCCTTTCATATGGTCGACCGTAAGATTGTCAATGTAGCCGCCATCAAGCAGCATGCTACCTTCGTCGCAGATCGGCGGGATCAAGCCAGCTAATGACATGGATGCACGTACGTACCGCCACGTGTAGCCAGAAGAGTGATATTCGGCACGCGATCGGCTAATGTTGGTGGTGTTGCAGTAGAACTCGAGCCAGAAGTCTTCAATCTGACTATCCCCAAACGTCTTGAAGATGCCACGGTTGAATTCATGCCCAGTGGTATAGGAAACAGTAGGGTAGGTCAGGTCCAGGGCGAATCGCCAGATGCTTCCCATGCGGCCCGCAAACTTCTTTGCACGACCATACATGGGCACAACGTCAGCATCCCGTGCATACAGAGCTCCAATGAAAGAACCAATCGAAGTGCCGCCAATGACATCAATTGGGATGCCTGCTTCTTCTAGAGCTTTGATTACCCCGACCTGGGCAATACCTCTGGCACCTCCACCACCAAGCACAAGCCCCACCGACCGGCCACAGAGCCGACGCGCCAAGCGATGAAAGTCGCCCTTGAATGGTGTCTGTGCAGAGTATAGCGGTGACTGGCGGATACGGCGCGAGGTGTACTTCTGGATTTCAGCTTGAATAACCTGAACTCTCTGCTTCAAGACGGTTCCAAAGCGTTTGGTCTGGGGATGAGAGGGTTCGGCCGTCAGTCGGAAGGCCATCTGTACATGATGATGGCCTCCATTGATCCAGACACGATTCTTCAACCACTGGCGGGTCAGTCCCGGAGGGCAGTACCGTTCCCCATGCAACAGGACTAATTCTTTCCGAGCGGTTGTTTTCATCCCAAGGAGAAATCTCTCGTATTCACCGATGCTGGGCGTCGACTCGGCAAGACCAACCAGCAAGATACAGTCAGCTTGAGTAATACATGTTTGCGTCCACGGAGAGTTCACGCTCGTATCCGCAATGTAGAGGACCATGCCGTACTTCTCCTCCAGATCCGCCAGGTACTGTGATAACTTGAGTTTGCCCATCTTACTGAAGGCATGTCTTCCTAGATGGTTCAGAATAGCCGCTTGATTGAGAGACGTGGCGCCGTTGGTGACCCCAATCTGGTGAAGCGCCTGTAACAGCCTGTTTCCAAATTCAACAACGGGAACTCCAGCTGTTACAGGAAGTATGCCAACAGTACGAAGGTTGAGAGTCGACTTTGCTGTCTTCACCGTACCAGAAACACCAGGTTCACCTCCCTTCTCGGCCAGCGGAGTCTCGACAAGGTCCCGCATCCGTTGTGCAATGAGTTTGGAGACCTGAATAGTGATTCCCGGATGTTCCTGGGCGAGGCTGTTGAAGAGAGTCCGGGGAAATTTGGCGAGTTCAGTGTCGCGGATGGCATGGAGAGTCGCCGGCCGGGTCGATTCGGTCATCACTTCCAACTCACCCACGCTTTCTCCCTGGCCGTATTCACCGACAACGGTCATCTTGCCATTTGGACCTTCATGTACAGACCGCAAACGTCCATTCAAGGCAAGGTAGATTGCATCGCTCTCGTCACCCTGGTGATAAATCACCTGGCCAGCACTTACTTGCACCCATTCCAGGGCGAAGTCGATATGAAGAAGTAACCGTGGGAGCAGGCTTGTCAGCCGCTTTGCCAAAGTCAGCAGGGCCAGAGGGTACCGCTCCGCTATTCTTTCCAATGACGCCCGCGGAAGAAATCCTACGTATACGTCTGTCTTCGCAACGACATCGGTATACGAGCGGTAAGATGCGACGGCGCCCACATAGCCTTGGATCCCACCGGGCTTAATAAGATAGAGTGACCTCCGCGACTGCTTCTTCCGCCTAGGATCATTTGCTGCCGCTGCCGAGCCTGACACACGAGAGGAACTCGTGTTGGTGCGTCTTAACATAGGGAACAGTTCCTCATGTGCCGGTCTGGATGATCCCACAAGGTCTTCTTCTTTGTCGTCCACAGGAATACCAACATCCAGGAAGCCATCAACAACGTAGTACAAACCCGGATGGCGCTCGCCTTGCTCAACAAGAACCGATCCCTGAGGGAAATAGACAATTTCAATGTCATTTCGGAGTTCTTCCCTCAAGTTGACAATAGGCGAGGTGCCACCGGCACTGGTGACAGACATGGACATCATGGATTCGCTCTCACCATCCGCAGAACCTTCGTAGGGATCAATGAACCCAAACGCGTTGTTGCTAAAGACGGCTTTCTGGCGGCGAGAATCATAGGAGAGGAGCTTCGGGGAAACATCGCCTGAAGGGTGACTACTTTTACGCAAGAAGTCATTGGTGCTTCCAGTCAAGCCGATGCCTTTCATGATACACTCCAGGATTGATTCACGGAAGAGTGCATCCTCATCCAAAGACTCTTTCCGGTGGAAAGGAGATGCGCGTCCTGGAATCATTGGAGACGGGGACCGTAAGGGGGAGTGTTCTTTCTCCGTAAGAGGACTCAGTAACCGGGGGGCAAGGTGCTCGTATCTCGGACCGAAGCGCGAAAGCTGAATGGTAGATAGAAGATCCCCGGGACTCACACCGGAATTCTCGCGATCACTTAGTGCGCTATCCTGGGCAACCATGGAGACTGGCCGTTTAGAGGCGACCATCTTTGCCTGAAGAGCGGCTTCCTTCCTTCGAAAGCTACTCGACCGGGGCCTCCGTCCTCCATATGGGTTATGCAACGCAATCCCTTTCGTTACTTCCTCTTGGCCTAGGCGATCTCGTTCTTTGATAAATTTGTCTTTGAGACGGTCCAGCGCTGACCCACGCAGCTCATTTGGCAAATCGTACGTTGTGAATTTCGTCATCTGCTTCTCTATTCCCAGCACCTCATTGTTTAGACCCAGATAGGAGTGCGCTGTAGCGAAGGTGACTCTCTGTAGGCGCGTAAGGATTACCTGGACGATATGGGCAGTCGCTTTTGGGTACACTCGGGTCAAGCGACGGAATGCGCTTGCAGGGATGATTGCGATTGTTGTGTCTACCATCGCTCGTGCAACGATATCTGGATGCACTGATTTCCTACGCGTTTTGCCTGAGTACTTTCTGCTTTCAGAGCGAGCAGAGTGGGCGGGTGGAACTTGACTTTCACCCAGATTTAATGGCGGCACAGCTGGTAGGTCTTCGGCAGTGCTGTTCCTGTGCGAGGCCGGGTCAAGACGATCCCCTTGATAAACATGCGGAGAGTCGTCCATTTCCCGAGGGCTCGCCGGAAATGAGTCGGGGCCAATGGCAAGACCCGGACCTATACTAGAAGCGCTGGAAGCTGAGCTGTCTGCATATCGTAATTGGACATCCTCGGTAAACAGCGACAGGATGGAAAAGAGCGAGGACATCGAAGCTCCATTCTTTACTTCGGTAAGCAGCTGGTATCCTTGCCTTCCGTCCGGTCGATGGTCGTCTTCGTCGGAAGATTCACCTGCCATGCGGTTCAGCTCTTCATCTGAGCCCGACTTTCTGTCCCGCATGGACTTCACGAAGATTTGGACCAAGCCATCAACGACCAAACAAAACCCTTTCTCTTCCTCCAGCAGGAGCGTTTCGCCGGCGATCAACTTCCTTGTCTGCATGGTGCGGGTCAATTCGTGGAATACAGGCCGCTCGAGGTAGCCGAAGACTTTGATAGCGCTCAGAAACTCATCCAGATAGTTTGCCAAGCCCGGTTTCGTGTCGCTGTCCGGTACATCGGGGAAGAGATCGAGCTGGGGTTCCTTGCGCTGCGGTTCTGGAGGCAGACGACTGTACATGTTCAGGAAACGATAGCGGATAAACCAACTGATGGTCGAGACCACGGCCAGCGCGATCAAGAGTCTATCGATAGAAACCATCATGGTCAGCATGTGTTGGCACTAGAGATTCACCCGCAATTGCCAATGACAATAGAATACATGCATGGGACATCAGGGTGCGTCACTCACAAGGTCGTGAAGTTCATGGTGAAGGTAAGGCTCATAGAAAAGAGCGTAAACAGCCATGTGGGCAAGGTGATGGTCGTGAAGGTAACAATCCAGTATAGAACACTTGGAATGACCTGGAAGATGAAGGAAAAGATCCAGCCGATCCACCCCACCATGGTTGAAGGTGCTGGGGGGGTTACTGGCGGGGGAGGGAGATGCGAAGAGAAGCCGGACACCACGGAGAAACTGGCGGTTAAGGCGGGGATTGAGGTTGCGAGGGATCGTGCGGCGGTCGATGAGGATGCAGGCAACACATGGAGAGGGTCCAGGCTTGAAGATTCAAGCGAGGGTGGTGCAGCGATGATTCCGTCACCGGTGGCCATGATTCCCTGGGCTTCCATGAGCTCGATGGGGACCAGACGCTAAAACACGCCTACTAGGAATTCCAAGGAAATCAAGGCAGCACCGCGCCCCAATTTGGAACACTCTCGTCCTTGTTCTTCTCTTTTTCGCACTCGTTTTCAGTCACATCCACGCCCACACTCAGGCGTCACGGCTGGATGCAACGAGATGGTGGGCAGACAGTACCTAGGCAAGCTCGTAGCCAGCATCATCCACGCAGGAGAGAACGTGCACCCAGGGATGCTTGTGGCTGGTTGTCGCGACGCAGGAGCTCAAAAAGGCGGCTTCTTTGGGTGCGGAGACCCGGGCAGAAAACCACCCGGGCGGTAGATAACTAAACTGACGTACTTTGCTTTTTGGCCCGCTCTTCCTGCAGGGTTTCGAAAGTTTAGATATAGATAATATAAGGTTATCGTTTATTTTTATTATTTTTATTTTCTTTTGGTTTCTGTGTGTATGATATTAACTAAGTCACATTAACAACGATTGGCAAAAATATCGTCATAATGGCAGTATCCCGATCATGTATTATACTCCCAATGGGGAATTGTCGAACGACTCAGACGTCAGATGCAGTCCTCCGCAGAGAGATTCAAATTCCCGTAAGTTTCGAAGGAAACTGAAGTAATGCTCGTTTCATGGTAGCTTCGGATCTTGGAATTTTCCAGTTGTGGTAGAGGTCAGTCTGAAGAGAGCTCAATTCCCTGGGAGCATGGTGGTAGTAGTTAGTACTGCTAGAAATATATAATGAAGGAAGCGAGAGCATAAAGTAGCACGGCTAACTGACTAGTAGATATTCAGTTACAACGGAAATAGTGCAAATGCAGTTTTGCCATCCTCATCTCGACCACCATGATCAACCTCTCTCTTTGATAGTCACCTTCTTCATTGTAGTTCTCCTTTTTATCCCTTCATCTCAATATCATGCTGTCATCGAGGGTGTCTCTGCGCTAGAGTCATTGCTATCGTCCAAGAGACCCGCTTGTTTATCTATATATAGTAGCCCCTTCAACATGACGGTGTTCAGTCAGTACCTCACAGCTTGAATGTGGTATGACCCTCATAACAGATACATACAATATCAACATATCCAATTACTAGCTGGAGGATAATTGAACAAACCATCTTCTTAGGGAACGGATACTTAACATGGAATGAAACCAGACAACTGAATGAATTTAGTGTAGATAATTGGCTGCTCACCGCCCCCCAGGAACGAGCATCCACAGACTCGGCGGGCCACCCGCTTTCTGCCCCGTGCTGGCCGCCCAACTGCCAACCGAAGCCCCCGTGGATGAGTTGTAGTCGCCGCCGCCGGATTTCATGCTCCCCTTCTTTCCTGCCTATCGCTTGCTTCTACTTGTCCTCACCTTCTGCCGACTTCTCTACTTCTGTCTCTCGTTCATCAGTCTTGCTGTGGCCTTGGCTCACAGGCCCGCCACGGTCATGTTTCAGGTAGGTGGCTGCCCGCTGTTTGTTCTCTGTCTTCCTCTCAACCTGTCGATTACTATTTACCCGTTTCGCATTCCCCGTGCCATATTGTGCTCGTGCCAGTGCTGTGGCTGATCCCGCCCTGTTCCCAATATAGCGCTTGCGCGACGCAATCGATTCGCGGATTGCAGAAGAACAAGCTCGTCAACGGTCCGCCCAAACTTCACTTTCGCGCTCCAACTCCGCTCGTCATCCCACGGGTCGCAACTTATCTCCGACTAGGCGAACCTCTCGTCCTCGGCGAAACACCGGTACCCCCGTCCGTGGCCCTGATCCCAACGAGTTCGAACCGGAGTTCGCCATCGGAGATGATGAAGGTTCCAGCAGATCAGCCACTCCGCGTTTGGAGTCGGCGGGTGGCTCCGAAGCTGCCCCGGAGGAGAACACCGGGGAGGGGAAGACGTCTTCTGAGGAGTCCGCAACCAAGAAGCCCGAGGCTCAGCCTGTAACTGAGACGAACCAGTCACCGTCTGAGCTCCCGCCAGAGATTCGGGTGAAATTGCGAAGGTTGGGCAAACTTGAATCCCGCTATCAAGGTAATGAGCGCTCTGCAACAACAGTCCGGCCACATTGTTAATTTGTTGCCGTACCCTAGATCTCCTGAAAGCGTACCGCATGGCCCATTCGCGCGTCCTGTCGATCGAACCATTCGAAGCTGCCCTGCGAGAGAACACTCCCCTGACGTCGATCAGCGAACCAAAAGCTTTGACGGAGTACCTGAATCAGATCTCGTTGAAAGGTGACCTGGTGACGGAGGAATTAAACGTGTAACAGCAGAGCGGGACGACTACAAGAAGAAGCTGGAAGAGTCTCAGAAATCCACCAAGGCTGCCTGGGATGAAGTTACAAAGCTCAAGGAGGACAGCAAATCCCAAGCCAAGAAAGACGAAGGGCCGACTTCTGAGAGTTCCGCTACCGACAAATCTACACCCGATAGCGCTGCCAAATCCGGGAAGGCGTCCACTTCTGGCGCCAAGGTGACCGCCGAGGCGTCTCAGAAGGAGTCTGACGCGCAGGGTGATAGTGAGGAGTTCTTCTCGTATGACAGCGAAATCCCGCGACTGGAGTCTGAATTGAAGGAGAAACAGGAGGAAATTGAAACTCTGAAGTCCCAGACAGAATCGCTCAAGCGCGACCTGTCAGTAGCCCGCGAGTCCACGGAAGGCATGGTCCATAACCTGGAATCCGCTACACGGGAGCTTGTTGAGTTGCGCGACACTAAGGACAAACAGGATGCGGAGTTGGAGAAGCTCAAAACCTCCAAGCAAGAGGAAGTTAGTGAGCTCAAAGCCAAGCTTGAGAAATCAGAAGCCGCCGTGTCGAAGACAAGCTCCGAAATCGAAAGCTTGAAATCCGAGCTCAAGCAAAAAGCAGATGAAATCGAGCAACTCCAGGCTCAGACTGCTCATGCCAAGAGCGCTGACCAACAAGCAGAGATCGAGTCAAAATTGGAACAGTTGAATCGGGAAAAGGAGGCCAATGACAAGCGTCTAGGGGTCCTACAAGGACTGGTTGACAGCCTTCGGTCCCAGCTCAAGGAGACGGAAGAAACCTTCACCAGTCTCAAGAAGGAAATGGGACAGAAGAACGAAGATATGGGCAAGCTACAGAACGTTGTCAATTTCCTGGATGCCAATCTCAAAGATAACGAGAAGTGGCAACAGACCAAGGACCAAATTGCAAATGGAAAGGAAGCAGCATTTGATGAACTTCGCGAGAGCCTGGCCCCTCCACCGCAAACCACAGCAGTGAAAGAGGACCCCGCCGGACCTACCGCACCAGCAGCGAACCCCGCAGGCGGCGCTGGGGGAGGCAAGAAGAAGAACAAGAAGAAGAAGAAGGGAGGCAAGGCGAACGAGGAGGCTAGTAAAGTAATTGAAGCTGCTGCTCCGGAGGAGAAGCAAGAACCGGCAGAGCAAGATGATCAAGCAGCCTTGAAGCTCACAGAGCTGGAGCAGAACATTGAATCGCTCAAAACGCAGCTGGCTGAGAAGGATGCTACCATTGATCGTCTCTGCTCAAAGCTCAAGGGAGAGGAAGATTTGAAAGAGGAAATCGAAACTCTACGTGATGACTTACTGAATATCGGCCAAGATCATGTTAAGCCAAGGATAAGGTGAAGGAGCTAACTGCCGAGAAGAACGCTCTGGAGGAAACAATATCCAAGCTGAGAAGGAACTGACTGATTTGCGGACCAGTAGCGAGTCTAGCAAAGTCGATACTGAGAAGGCGCACAATGACCTGAAGGACGAATATGAGAGTCTCAAGATCAAGTCTACTACCCTGGAGACTGAGCTTTCTGCTGCCCAGCAGCTGGCTGCCACGCGTTTCAAGGATATGACAGAACTGCGGGAGACACTCCAGAAACTGCAACCGGAAGTGAAGAAGCTACGGGCCGAGTCCGCGGAGCTGAAGTCCACAAAGGAATCTTTGAACAGCAAGACAGCCGACTTGCGAAACCTGGAGGGGCAGCATGACGAGTTGCGTGCAGAGCTGAAGTCGCTTAAGTCTACGATATCAGAAAGAGACGCGGAAGTGAAGTCTCTCAACCAGAAGATCAGACAGGAGACGGACAGCCGTCTGAAGAGCGAGGAGAAATTGACGGTCGCCCAATCTGATCTGCGATACTCGGAGAGCAAAAAGCAGGAAGCCGTGGAGGCAAAGGAGAAGCTGGCATCGGACCTGTCCAAGGCTCAAGATGAGCTGAAGGCAGCTCGCGCCCGGCTCCGTGAAGCTGAGAGCCAAGCTGCTCAGTTGAACAAGGATCTTGGCGGCCTGCGAGAGGAGATTCAGCTGAAGACCGCACAGCATGCCAGCGCACAAAGTTTGATGAATAGTATGCGCGACCAGGCTGGGGAGTTGGGTATGCAGATGAAGGAAGCCCGGGAGCGTTGTGAAAGCTTGGAAGAAGAATTAGCGGATGCTCATCGCCTGCTGAGCGAGCGGACTCGGGAGGGGGAGACTATGCGGCGTCTTCTCAATGATATTGACGGCCGCGCAGAGGCTAAAGTACGGGATTTCAAGGAGCGTATGGAGGCTGCCATCGAAGAACGCGACAGGGCTGAGGATGAGGCAAGTGCTCAGAGCCGCCGGCGGGCGCGTGAATTGGAAGACTTGAAGGGCAAGCTTCGCGAAGCAGAGCGGGCCTTGCGTACTGTGGAGGAGGATAAGGAGGAGCTGGAGCATACCCAGAAGGACTGGAAACGCAGACGGGATCAACTCGAGGCCGAGTCGGAGAAGACTACCCAAGAGCTCAGTGATCTACGACAGGCTATGGCACGGTTGCGGGATGCATTGGATGAAAGTGAGAAACAAGTCCGTGATTTGGAAAAGGAGAAGGCCGAGCTGCGTCGGTCCGTGGAGGAGACCAACGCGCGCCTAGAAAAGGTTCGCAAGTCCAACAAGATGCTACCAGACGAGAGTCGCTTCGGTACCAATCCGCAGTCATCCCGTTCATCCATCGACTCCGGGTCACGAAAAGCGCTGGCCT